ACTGACCGACGCCCGTTCTTTGGCTCCTCATTTGTCTTCATGACTCAAGTCAGCAACTGTTGTGCCTTTCATCAACATTTAAAAAAAAGTTATGCTTTGTTTAGATTACTCAAACTCCTGACAATGACATCGCTTGTGCTATAATAAGGAATAAAACGAAATTATGGAAAAATTTTCTCGGTAAGGAACCGGTGAGGGAAACGTTGTAGAAACTTGGAATATAGTGAGCTCTGATAGCAGGCGGGCCGTCCGCCTTGCTGATACGATGTGTGGTTGGTAGCTAAGCTAAACTAGCTCTCTTGCCAGGAAGCTGGCCAGTTTATACAAAGCTCTTCACGTGTATTTTAGCATGTGTTCATAGATAAAGGATGTAGGCCGTACACACACTCTGATGCTCAACATGTTTCGTTATCCATTTTTTCAGTGCCCTAAATTTTTCTAACTTAAGAAATTAAGTTTTTTTTTCCTGGAGGGGTTTCAGGTCTGTATTTTATTTTTGACGTGTGTATAGCACACACACACACACACACACACACAACGAAGTAAGGCCAAGCTACACTCACATACAACACAACACCCTTGCTAACAGTTACACACATTTCAGAATATATTACACAAATTTCAGATGTAGAGGCAAGCATGCTTGGGTACCCAAACACACATGAACATACATAGTCATGCACATAAGCGCTTAGTTGTATGTGAAGGTCAAGACACAGCGGTATGTACAGTGGTATACGATCATACACGCCCTCCCCCGCATGTATATATATAGAGACATTTCTGTGTATATGAACGTGTGGACTTGGAGACGGTGCCAGAAAATATAAGTGAAGTTTTAACCTCCACTAGCACTACACACATGTATAACATCCCGCTTGTTTCCCTCTTATGGTTTTATCTTTGCTAGTTTACCTCTTGCCTTTATCTATTTCTGCTTTTTTGTAATTTATTGTTGTATTTCTTGTTATTTATGTTCATATTGACAGTTTTTATATTCGTGGTTTTCTTGTTTATTTTTTTTTTTTTTACACAATTTAATTTTTTCTGTTCATTGTTTATGATATTAATTTTTTCAATTTTATGTTTCCCATCTGGTAGTGCGTTTGTTTTATATTTCTCATTTGTTCAGATATTTTCGCCTTCAGCTTATCTCGTCTCTTAATCCTTTGTGGCTCTCATTTTCTCGTCATCTTTCTTGATTTCATCATATTTCCTTCATTTTCTCTTCTTTCCTGAAGAGAAACACACACACACACACACACACACACACACACACGCACACACGCACACACAGGGGGGCCTTGTAGGGGCCTCGTAGCCTGGTGGATAGCGCGCAGGATTCGTAATTCTGTGGCGCGGGTTCGATTCCCGCACGAGGCAGAAACAAATGGGCAAAGTTTCTTTCACCCTAAGTGCCCCTGTTACCTAGCAGTAAATAGGTACCTGGGAGTTAGTCAGCTGTCACGGGCTGCTTCCTGGGGTGTGTGTGTGGTGTGGGGAAAAAAAAAAAAAAAAAAAAAACAGCAGTTAGTAAACAGTTGATTGACAGTTGAGAGGCGGGGCGAAAGAGCAAAGCTCAACCCCCGCAAAAACACAACTAGTAAACACACACGCACACACACACACACACACAGTGATGAGGTAGGATGAGAGGTGCTTCACCCTCACCACCACAAGAGTCACGTGCTGTACGGCGACCTGCTGCCTCTATAACACTAAACCCCAGCTATGACGCACGCTGAACACAACGGCCACCTGTGGGCACTCACCCTCTCACCTGCCGCACTCCATTAGTCTCCCCCTTCCACCCTTCCAGAACACCCCCCCCCCCCAATCAGCGCCCTCGTTTGACTGCAAGCCCTGCAAACACAAACCTATACTGTCTCTATGTTCCGCTTGTTACAACTTGTAATAACGTTGTCACATCTTGGCCTAACGTGTTTATGACGTATTAGAACGTTGTTACAACTTGCTATATTGGTTGTTATAACTGGTTAGGAGGTGTTAAAACTTGTTCGAACGTTGTACCAACGTCGTAGTTTCGGTGTGTGTTTGGCGGGAGAAAAGTATCTTTTAATGTTTGCTTTTTGAAACGTGGATGTCAAGTCTCATCCATGGAAAATTATGGCTTTGAGAGTTGCCCTGAAACTTGCTTACTGAACCGTCCGCGCCGGTGCCTTCCTTCCCCGCACATGTTTCCCGCCACAAGACTGCAACACTTAAATTATGGCGGGTTATTTTGACACTCTGCTTTGGTTACCGCCGCTCCCGTTGGTGACGGCGGCGCTCCTATTGGTGACGGCGAAGCTCCTGTTGGTGACAGCGGCGCTCTTGTTGGTGACGGCGGGGCTCCTGTTGGTGGCGGCGCTCTTGTTGGTGACGGCGGCGCTCTTGTTGGTGACGGCGGGCTCCTGTTGGTGGCGGCGCTCTTGTTGGTGACGGCGGCGCTCCTGTTGGGCGCTGTTGGTGACGGCGGCGCTCCTGTTGATGACGACGCTCCTGTTGGTGACGACGCTCCTGTCCTGTTGGTGACGGCCCTCAAAACGGTGACGGCAAAGGAAAAGCTTGCATGGCGGGGGTGCATGAGTAGATTAAGAAGGTGAAGAATGAATAATGATAAATATAAGAACAGCAACATTGGAGTAAAATATTGCGAAGCAGAACAGTTGTAGAACAAATCTGGCAGCCGAGCACTTGTGTGTATGAATACTAGGCGTCGCCTCCACTTCTCCGTTTTCCCTCCTGCTGGGGTATGCGGCCCGCGCCCTCTGCCTCCCCCGCCATGTTTTCCCTCCTGCTGGGGTATGCGGCCCGCGCCCTCTGCCTAACCCGCCATGTTTTCCCTCCTGCTGGGGTATGCGGCCCGCGCCCTCTGCCTCCCCCGCCATGTTTTCCCTCCTGCTGGGGTATGCGGCCCGCGCCCTCTGCCTCCCCCGCCATGTTTTCCCTCATGCTGGGGTATGCGGCCCGCGCCCTCTGCCTCCCCCGCCATGTTTTCCCTCCTGCTGGGGTATGCGGTCCGCGCCCTCTGCCTCCCCCGCCATGTTTTCCCTCCTGCTGGGGTATGCGGCCCGCGCCCTCTGCCTCCCCCGCCATGTTTTCCCTCCTGCTGGGGTATGCGGCCCGCGCCCTCTGCCTTCCCCGCCATGTTTTCCCTCCTGCTGGGGTATGCGGCCCGCGCCCTCTGCCTTCCCCGCCATGTTTTCCCTCCTGCTGGGGTATGCGGCCCGCGCCCTCTGCCTCCCCCACCATGTTTTCCCTCCTGCTGGGGTATGCGGCCCGCGCCCTCTGCCTTCCCCGCCATGTTTTCCCTCCTGCTGGGGTATGCGGCCCGCGCCCTCTGCCTTCCCCGCCATGTTTTCCCTCCTGCTGGGGTATGCGGCCCGCGCCCTCTGCCTCCCCCACCATGTTTTAAATTATGCCTCTAGCGTTTATAAAATTTTGATTGTTTATCGCTTCTGGTTTTATTATATATTAAGTTTTTGTTATTCCCATCCAACTAAGCAGTTTGCACTCGTCAGCAGATTGAACGAAATAGTAATTATTAAATATATTTTTTACATGCATGAAAACCGGAGGCATATTTTCAATTAAGAAAGTGCGAACATATTTCAAAATATAATAGAATATATGGAATAAGGTCTAAGACCTGAGAAAATTATGGTCCCCTCTTCTTCAGCGCTACTCTAACACATCCTGACAAGCTGTCCTAATATAACGAAAATAAGTGACAAAACCTGGTCTCTCTCTCAGTCTCTCTTCTCCTTTCCGTTTTCTTTATCTCCCACCCTCCCATTCTCTCTCCCTACATCCCGTTTCCTATTTCTCTCTCTCTCTCCCAATTTCCTATATCTCTCTCTCCCTATTTCCTATTTCTCTCTCTCTCTCTATTTCCTATTTCTCTCTCTCCCTATTTCCTATTTCTCTCTCATTGGGTAAAAGATGCTTGAGTAACATTCAACGTTATATTGTAAGATTTTTTTTATTTTCTTCAGAGAATTAATCCAGTAGCGAACTGGTAGCCAGTGCCAGATCCGTCATGGGGCTTGCAATGAGACCATGCCACCTTAGTCTCGTTTTATTGGCTTCGGCCCCGGCCCACCCACGTTGGGCACGTACCCCACAACAATCACTGTGCAAAGTTTGGTGAGGCTAGTCCCAAGCGTCTGGCCTTCAACTTTTAACATTTTTTATTTTATAGATATGGAAACATACGTATATTCATTCACAGTTTTGTTTTAAATCACTAGGAACGTGTCTGGCGAATTATATATACTTGTGGTTAGGCAAAGCAAGTGGCAGGAGGAGCCTGTCACTCATGAGTGACAAAAATGAGAGTGTAACTCGACGATGTTGACCAGGTGTGAAGACTGTCGTGCGTCTGGCAGCATTTAGAGCAAACTAACGCCGAGAACATGCAAACATCTCGTACTCTAATCGCCTTAATTAACGTACAATAATAAAAAACACGTCCGTTACAGTATTTTAATAATCACATAACTTAGTAAGGCCAATAGAGTGCTGTCCAAACATAGCAATTGCAAGTAGTATTTAAATATATATTTAAATATTTGTTGAGCATATTAATAAATGCATATATAAATACAGACAGCCAATAGAGTGCTGTCCAAACATAGCAATTGCAAGTAGTATTTAAATATATATTTAAATATTTGTTGAGCATATTAATAAATGCATATATAAATACAGACAGCATTGAGGTCCTCGTGTGCTCATGAAATGTTATCATTCTTTCAGTGAAAAAGTTAGAAGTGTTCCTGGTAGTACTGACTGCCAGGCACTGTCAAAACATGTTCAGTGGGCTCGCATGGCATGTTTTTGGACCTTTGGTACTAGCAGGGTTATTGATCAGGTGTTAATACTATATTAAAGGCTAAACTACTGAAAAAGGTTTAGCATTATGGTAGAGGAAGAACTCTTAACGTTGAGGCAAATGTGTACCACTATGGAACTACGGTAGAAATTATCTCTGGTACCTGCTGGCGGAGGGCGTGTGGATGGGGACGGTCTCCTGGGCTTTGGACTCATTCTGCACCGGCAGGAGGCCGGGGGGGAGCTGCACCTCCTCCTCCAGGTCAGAGTCCTCAGAACTCTCCTCCCGGCAACACAAACACCGACAGCACGTGGACATGGTGAGGTAGGTGTGGTCCGTGGGGCTGGTCGACGGTGCTGGTGGCGGTGGGTGGGGGTGGTCGACGGTGCTGGTGGTGGTGGTGGTCGACGGTGCTGGTGGTGGTGGGTGGGGGTGGTCGACGGTGCTGGTGGTGGTGGTGGGGCTGGTCGACGGTGCTGGTGGTGGTGGGTGGGGGTGGTCGACGGTGCTGCTGGTGGTGGTGGTCGACGGTGTTGGTGATGGTGGGGGTGGTCGACGGTGCTGGTCGTGGTAATCAAGGGCTACAAAAGTTGCATAAGGAGGAAGTTCTCCGTCCTAGTGAAAACACTGCGTGTGCGCGCAGAGTGCTCACGCACGCGGACGACCTCAGCAGGAGGCGCTGCCCGTGGACACGAGGCTTCAGGTCTGAGAATGACCGTGGTCGGTTCACCAGCGCCAACAAGGCCAAGTCACTGCTGGAGCGGTGAACACAAACACAGTGTCACGGGGTTGCCCACGCTAACACAAGCTCCAATAAGGCACGGAACAGTTGCGTTCAAGGCTGATCTTTCATATTTACCAAGTTCAATGTTTGGCTTGGTTCCATTAATCATTTTTAAGTCTACAGTTATTCACTTGATGCAAATAGCGAGCAAAGGGCTAGTACAGATGTGGAGGGTCAACATAGGCAGCAGCTGTGTAGTGGGTGGCGTTACAGGTGTGCAGGGTCAACAGGTGCCCCGCTGGTGACGGTACAGGCGTCGTGGCACCTGTCTACACGGCACCAATCTCCACCTCCACACCCACCAAGGGTACATAACTCAGCCACGGTATTGATCCACTAACCTAAAGAAAAACAAATGTTTATATAATATACAAAATTATAAATTGCCACATTAGTCATATATTCAGCAGACATCAACTAAAGGTCCTTCACAAAAGTAAAAACATATTATTTGTGTCTGTAATATTTGGGTCAGGATTTTTTTTTTAATTCGTTAAACAATCTGAATACCGAGTGAGTGGTCAACGATTGATTGATTTGATTGATGAAGATTATCCACCCAAGAAGTGGCACGGGCATGAGTAGCCCGTAACGGTTATATATTGACACCTATGGCTCTCTCATCCTCGTAAATATAAATATACTAGTAGGGGATACCCGACGTCGCTCGGGTGATGGACGCGACATCTTCACTATTCATTATCTACGTCCATATGTATAGAAATATACAGCAGTTATTTACGTCGCAGACTACACTGTCTGGCTCAATGTACTGACGACAACGGACACACTGTGTCTGGCTCAGTGTACTGACTGCACAAGCTGCACTGTGACTGAAGACGCTTTCATCTTTTTTAATACAATAACTTATGCATCAGTGTAGTGATTCTTGCTATGGCCGTGCAATAGTTACACCTGATCTTTACATTTAGCTGCTGTGCCACCTCTACACTGCATCTGTTGTCCTCCTGGCTCTTTAGTGTCCTCTGGAGAGTCTCCTTGTTTGCCTGGGTACTGTGCTGTGTATACAGTCCCCGAGCCTTCCTCCTCGTGTCTGTGGCCTACTTCCATTGTCTGGTGAGCAAGTGGCCAATCGTGTTCTTTTGTCTGCTTGTGTTCTGAGTGGAGACATTAACGCTGCTGCTGCCTCTGTACATTTATGAGTTTGTTGTGTACTCATCCATTTGTTGTCCATCCCTCCAGCTCGCTCTCCCAGTCATGCTCCTGGAGGAAGTGTCTCTGAGCCTCCCCTCCTGTAGTCTCCCTTCCTGTAATCCCATCTCCCTCTGTACCTGTTACTCCTCTCATCTTACTGTTCGACTGAGCAATCGAACTGCATAATCCAATGTTATCTCACCAGGCGGCTTCCCATAGCTTTTCCCAGCCCATCCTCTTGTTTAAATAGTATTATTTGTAACTATATGAACCAGCGTACATATATGGACGTAATGGACAATTAGTAGAATTTGGCACTATTAACTTTATAGTCAGGAAAAATAAAGCTAAAACAATGCCAATATTCCTAGGCCTAATATAGCACATATATGTGCTATATTAGGTCTCAAATAACGTGTATTAGGCCTAGGGTGGTGAGGTTAGGCTTTATTTATTAGCAACATAAATACACAACCTTTTCCGTCTGTCCAAAGTCGGTAGTGCCAAATATTACTTTCTAATTGTCTATTTCGTCAATATATGTATGATGGTCCACAGTGTTACCATCATTACTGTCTATACAGGAGGATGAGCTGTCCCTCCCCCCCCCCCCCTCAAATCCCACCATATTGTAAGTTAATGCCAGGTGTAATGATGCCAACTCATCCTTTCCCCCTTTCCTTGTTGCATGAGACAGGTTCTTCTTTGTGAAGCACCTGTCACTTGTGAAGCACCTGTCACAGGGCCATGAAGCACCTGTCACGGGGCCATGAAGCACCTGTCACGGGGCCATGAAGCACCTGTCACGGGGCCATGAAGCACCTGTCACGGGGCCATGAAGCACCTGTCACGGGGCCATGAAGCACCTGTCACGGGGCCATGAAGCACCTGTCACGTGTGGCCATGAAACACCTGTCTCAGGGCCATGAAGCACCTGTCACGGGGCCATGAAGCACCTGTCACGTGTGGACCTTAACCTCGACATCCACGTATCATCTTCTCCATGGAAAACTTGTATTGCCTAATCATGTTTCCTGTACTCGGAATCCCTGAATACCTCCAACTGTAGGTTCTCGTTCACTTGCCACCATTTAGGGTAATCAGCCGTCTGTGACGTGTGGAATATTTCCATTATTCTCATCTTCCCCGAGCTCTGTGGTGTCATCTGGGGGGGGTTGTACATGACTGGTACATGAGGTATACTGTGCCGGGTCCAGTCGTCTCACTATCATATAAAGATTATTTTGGCTTATGGGTATTACAGTAAAGTCTTGAAGTATACTGGAATAATATACAGAGTTCAGCAGTCGTGACAACGACTGCTGAACTCTGGTTGTCCAGCATACACTGTCATGTGCAGTGTTCAGACGGAATAAGCTGTGCCGAGTCGGGCACAGGGTACAACCTGTCCTCTTACAAGTAGACATCCACCAGTCTCACGAGACTATGGAGTTCCTCTTACAAAGAACGTCGCATTTCGCTCGTATGGTGTTACATAAGACCAAAAATTGTCTTACGAGAAAATGGAAGCGGCTGGCGAAAGTGATGTACTGTCCCGATTTATGTTTTAGGTTCTCTGGTGGGTTAGGAGAGGACACTTTTAATTGACCGTTTTCTTGACGTTGGGGAGAGCTTACGAGGACGGACTGCAGTGTTCAGGCCTGACCTTTTAGACTGTCGGGTCTAGTATTTCATGTTCGCATTGTATTTGACTAATATACAGGTAACTTAAATAGGTAAGTAAATGGAAGAGGTAAGAATTTATAAATAGGAATTAATAAATCAAAGTTAAATCAAAGGTAAAATAAACGGCAATAATTAGTGAACTACGTGAAGAACTTTTTATTATTATTATTATTATTTTCTACCACAGACGTGGCCACACATTTACAATGCTAAACAGCATATATACACGTGAAGAACTGGCAGGTGGAAGAGAGAACTTACCGTGGTGTTGGTGATGTTGTGTTGGTGATGTGTTGGTGTTGGTGTGGTGGTGTTGGAGGCGGCAGGTGTCACACTTAATATGACGGTAGTCGTTGTAGTGTTCGTGTGTAGGTCGCAGCGTCGTCTCGCCATACGGGGAGGTCAGAGGCGCTTGGAAGGTGTCGTTCTCTGAAGCAGGGATTGCATCCGGCCGTTCCGTCACGTGACCGGGGTCATGTGGGTGTGCGTGGCCATAATGGGTCGCGTCTCACCCACACAATGTATGCCTCGGGGCACAGGAGGAGGAGGAGGAGCACCAGGCACTGTTAGGCGTTCACAGGCTCGCCATACTTCCCCGCGTGCTGGAGCTGGCCAGTGGCCGGCACTTCCTCGTCGTCACCCCTGCGGCGTCCCCACACATGTCGATGCTCTGCTCCATAGTCAGGGGGAATTGACGCATAGGTCTTCAATGCATTACGAAACCTCCGAGTTCTGCCTCTTACATCATGTCATTTAACAGTACCATTGGAAATCACTGTACTTAATTAGTTCTGTTAAATCACAGGGCCCTCGTGTAGGGGTTTATGAGATCCCGGACATCAATCTGCAGCAGCCGGGAATATGTATCCGCGCGTGGTCCCCTTGACACTTTGGTCGTGTGTGAGGGTGTGGGTTGTGAGGGTGTGGGCTGTGAGGGGTGTGTGGGCTGTGAGGGTGTGGGCTGTGAGGGTGTGGGTTGTGAGGGTGTGGGCTGTGAGGGGTGTGGGCTGTGAGGGTGTGGGTTGTGAGGGTGTGGGCTGTGAGGGTGTGGACTGTGAGGGTGTGGGTTGTGAGGGTGTGGGCTGTGAGGGGTGTGGGCTGTGAGGGTGTGGGCTGTGAGGGTGTGGGCTGTGAGGGTGTGGGTTGTGAGGGGTGTGGGCTGTGAGGGTGTGGGTTGTGAGGGTGTGGGCTGTGAGGGTGTGGGTTGTGAGGGTGTGGGTTGTGAGGGTGTGGGCTGTGAGGGTGTGGGTTGTGAGGGTGTGGGCTGTGAGGGTGTGGGTTGTGAGGGTGTGGGTTGTGAGGGTGTGGGTTGTGAGGGTGTGGGCTGTGAGGGTGTGGGTTGTGAGGGTGTGGGTTGTGAGGGGTGTGGGTTGTGAGGGTGTGGGTTGTGAGGGTGTGGGCTGTGAGGGGTGTGGGTTGTGAGGGTGTGGGCTGTGAGGGGTGTGGGTTGTGAGGGTGTGGGCTGTGAGGGTGTGGGTTGTGAGGGTGTGGGTTGTGAGGGTGTGGGTTGTGAGGGTGTGGGCTGTGAGGGTGTGGGTTGTGAGGGTGTGGGTTGTGAGGGTGGTGTGACACGTGAAGGAGTAGGCAGAGGAGTGGTACCGGAGTAGAGAGGAGGGGCAGTGAGAGGTGCTGATACAGAACCGCTACCACGGTTCGCGGGGTGAGAGAGGGGGAGGCGTGGCCCTCAGTGTGGTGGAGGTGGCTGCGGAGGACCCTGACAGGAAAAGGGTTGGTGGGGCACTGGCAGCCATGCCCAGCCGTACCCCTACCACAGCTCCACCACACCACCACACCTCCTCCACACTATGGCTTCTCCACCACAACAATGCATGGCGTACGTTTCCTTGTGTTCTGGTAATGATTGATCAAGTGAAAACTTCTTATTTCCATTTTCCCACTGAGAGAGGTATTTATAGATCGATGAGTAGTTATATGAAGTTTTGGCACCAGCTGAAGCATCACCAGCTGCTGCTGCCTGTGTTGACACCCTGTCACCATGGTACACACCATGGTACACGCCACCACGGTACACACCATGGTACACGCCACCACGGTACACACCATGGTACACACCACCACGGTACACGCCACCACGGTACACACCATGGTAAACGCCACCACGGTACACACCATGGTACACGCCACCACGGTACACACCATGGTAAACGCCACCACGGTACACACCATGGTACACGCCACCACGGTACACACCATGGTAAACGCCACCACGGTACACACCATGGTACACGTCACCACGGTACACACCATGGTACACACCATGGTACACGTCACCACGGTACACACCATGGTACACGTCACCACGGTACACACCATGGTACACACCATGGTACACGTCACCACGGTACACACCATGGTACACGTCACCACGGTACACACCATGGTACACACCACCACGGTACACACCATGGTACACGCCACCACGGTACACACCATGGTACACACCACCACGGTACACACCATGGTACACGCCACCACGGTACACACCATGGTAAACGCCACCACGGTACACACCATGGTACACGTCACCACGGTACACACCATGGTATACGTCACCACGGTACACACCATGGTACACGTCACCACGGTACACACCATGGTACACACCATGGTACACGTCACCACGGTACACACCATGGTACACGCCACCACGGTACACACCATGGTACACGCCACCACGGTACACACCATGGTACACGCCACCACGGTACACACCATGGTACACGCCACCACGGTACACACCATGGTACACGCCACCACGGTACACACCATGGTACACGCCACCACGGTACACACCATGGTACACACCACCACGGTACACACCATGGTACACGTCACCACGGTACACACCATGGTACACACCATGGTACACGTCACCACGGTACACACCATGGTACACGCCACCACGGTACACACCATGGTACACGCCACCACGGTACACACCATGGTACACGCCACCACGGTACACACCATGGTACACGCCACCACGGTACACACCATGGTACACGCCACCACGGTACACACCATGGTACACGCCACCACGGTACACACCATGGTACACACCACCACGGTACACACCATATATACCGCGGTACTCACCACCAAAGTATACGCATCGTGGTATACTTTATGTAGTGTACCACGTGCACCATCCACGGTACACGCCACGGCTGGTACACTCTTCATAACAACAACGTTGGTACAAGATGCACTCTTAACCAACTCTTAGTTACATTGATCATTAACAATCAACTCAGTGTCAAAGAAAAAGTTGATTGTGTCAAAGAACAATCTACTCTTGGTTACATTAACCATTAGCAGTGTATTATGAGCAGTACATTCCCTCGCTCAGTCACCAAAAGACTTTTCGCTCAGTCACCAAAAGACGTTTATTTCTCTTTCAACTTTTACACGTTTCAAGAGTTTTACCCGCATGATGGCGGAAGTCGGCTTTACACTTCTGAAAACTGAAGTCAAATGGAATAAATCACAAGGAGAAATATACAAAATGAATTCTACCGTTGGGAAATTTGAGGGAGTGTTGCCACTGTGAGCAGCGCCACGACGTGTCGGCCAGCCTACCGCAGGCTGTAAAGTCGTCCCCTAATGGACACGTGGACACCATCAGAGTTATGATGAGAGGGGAGGAAGCTGGTGAGGAGGAAGTAGGGAGGGAAGGGGGTAAGGAGAGGGGGTTATAGAGGGGAGAAAAAGATAGTTATGGGGAGGAGGAAGGAGAATAAATGCATAATAGAAGATGGCAAGAAACTCTAGGGGACTGGATAGAGTGGAAGAATGAACTAACGAGTGGGCGTTAGCACGTACAGAGTAATGAATCAGGGTATTGGAAACAGGAGGCTGGAGGTAACGTACTAAATGGGAGACAAATCCTTCCTAGACTGACTAACAACAGACCTACAAGTCTAAACAAAAGTCTTTCATATATCCCTGTGTACCACATATGTCACACCAGTTGCGGAATATATGACATGTGTGTTACCGTAAAAATACAGATGTATGCCATCAGACAAGTCCCGGAAGTGAGAGGCAGGAGTTATACAGAAGCACGAATATATAATTGAATTTCATGTCGTTTGAAGAAGAATAACCGAAGGGAGACATGATCACCTCATACAACACTCAGGAATAGGCAGGGAAGACAGAGATTGTGTGTCATTAGTTGTTCACTAACAAGGGAACGCAGGTGGAAACTATCTATACTTAAATAATCCACAAGTGACGAGTGGATTATTAGTAGTTATTAGTAATAATCCATAATTATGTGGATTACAAGGGTATTACTTATTGTTCTGTACCATAGTAAACAACTTTTCACAAGGTTAAATAACTTAACACAATAAGAGCCAGTAAGGACTGTCATCACGTACAGGGACAGAGAATGTATATATATAAGAGTATATATATACTCTTATATATATATGTGTGTATATGAAAGGATATACGAGTGCCTAAAATGAAAAAGGAAACAACATGAATTGGCTACAGGTGTCTCAGGCAGTTCGGCCTTTACTTCATCTATATGGCTCTAGATGAAGTAGAGTGTAAAGTGTGTAGACAGAGACAGGAAGACACACTAGAGCATTACATCTTAGACTGTGATAAAACTGAACCATTTAGAGATAAATCTAAACTCACACTGTATGAAATGACAAACCATCTTATTACTTAGGATAAAATACCTGAAATCCTTGCACTGTATCCATGCTTCGCTTCCAGTAGATAAATAACATACGAGATTAAGGAACAAACAGTATAATGTGAAGACTAACAATAATAAACAGCAGCTTTCATATGACCCTGTAATTCCTCCATAGTTAAAACAGTTATGTATTAGAGAGAAAAGGCCTACCAATAATGTATAATGATCAATTGTAAAGACATAGCTATTAAAGTAGAACAATCTCTGTAACTAGCTGACATTATAATTATAAGGTGTGCAGGATAGATGTAATTGTTAATGTAATAATCTCTGCTGAGGTCTGATAAAGACCTTTTGTGCCCTCTGTAATCCTTTTTGCGCTACCGCTCACGGGATGAGTATGGGGTGCACAATAAACTAGTCTTCTCTGGCGTCAACAATAAAAAAACTGTCTTTTTTTTTAGAAGCCTGACTGAGATATTGTCTAGGTCTTAGTGCGACTCCAGTGGTAAAAGACGTAAAGGGAAGAGCAGTCTATGATGGATCACGTAAAACAAAAATTATTTCGAGGCAGGAGGAGGTACATGCCCCAGCCACCGGGAGAGGTTACCGCGGCGTGGAGACCGCCCGGGGCTTAACAGATACCGCCCAGGGCTTAACAGAGACCGCCCAGGGCTTAACAGATACCGCCCGGGGTTTAACAGAGACCGCCCAGGGCTTAACAGAGACCGCCCAGGGCTTAACAGAGATCGCCCGGGGTTTAACAGAGACCGCCCAGGGCTTAACAGAGACCGCCCAGGGCTTAACAGAGACCGCTCAGGGCTTAATAGAGACCGCTCAGGGCTTAACAGAGACCGCTCAGTGCTTAACAGAAACCGCCTGGGGCTTAACAGAGACCGCCCGGGGTTTAACAGAGACCGCCCAGGGCTTAACAGAGACCGCCCAGGGCTTAACAGAGACCGCTCAGGGCTTAATAGAGACCGCTCAGGGCTTAACAGAGACCGCTCAGTGCTTAACAGAAACCGCCTGGGGCTTAACAGAGACTGCCCAGGGTTTAACAGAGACCGCCCAGGGCTTAACAGAGACCGCTCAGGGCTTAACAGAGACCGCCCGGGGTTTAACAGAGACCGCCCAGGGCTTAACAAAGACCGCCCAGGGCTTAACAGAGACCGCCCAGGGCTTAACAGAGACCGCCCGGGGCTTAACAGAGACCGCCCAGGGCTTAACAGAGACCGCCCAGGGCTTAACAGAGACCGCCCAGGGCTTAACAGAGACCGCCCGGGGCTTAACAGAGACCGCCCAGGGCTTAACAGAGACCGCCCAGGGCTTAACAGAGACCGCCCAGGGCTTAACAGAGACCGCCCGGGGTTTAACAGAGACCGCCCAGAGCTTAACAGACAATGCAGATAATCTAAGACTTTAAACAGAAGTGCACGGTACAAGTGTGTGATAAACTAAGGTACATATAACCAGAATGATGTTAGCAGTATATTCGTATAAACATTACACCAGTCTTCAGGAATCTAGACAACAATAACTTTAGAATATTCACATCATACATCCGACAGTGGATGGTGGCACAGTGGTAACACTCGCTCTGCGCTTCGTGAGCGATTGGGTCCAGGTTCGAGTCTTTGTTAGAAAAAAAATTCTGGTAGCCAATCTTCACCACTTGTGTTCGGATACCCCCGCAGCAGTAATTGGGAACCTGGGGCTAGATTCAGGAAAGCACTTACGCAAGCACTTACGAACGTGTTCATCTTTCCTCAATCTTTGACGGCTTTGGTTACATTTATTAAACAGTTTACAAGCATGAAAACTTCCCAATCTACTGTTGTTATTGTTATAAACAGCCTCTTGGTGCTTCGGAGCTCATTAACTGTTTAATAATTGGAAACAAAGCCGCCAAAGATTGAAAAAAGATGTTCAGGTTCGTAAGTGCTTGCGTAAATGCTTTCGTGAATCTGGCCCCTAGTCGTTAAGCGAATGGCGGGCCGTCTTCTAGGGAAAACTTCTGGAGAGGGAAGGCCCACAACCTGCAAACTGGAGTCAGGGGCCGTCTGCTCTTGTAGCGACCTGTGTAAACACAAATAACAACGCAAGAATAAGTATCACTGATTTGGCGACCAAGTTGGAGATGTCATATAAGAATGACAGGCTGTTGTATGTCACTGGCGTATCTTGGCGTTCATATAAGAATGACAGGCGTCTCTGTATTCCTGGCGTATCTTGGCGTTCATATAAGAATGACAGGCGTCTCTGTATTCCTGGCGTATCTTGGCGTTCATATAAGAATGACAGGCTTCTCTGTATTCCTGGCGTATCTTGGCGTTCATATAAGAATGGCAGGCGTCTCTGTATTCCTGACGTATCTTGGCGTTCATATAAGAATGACAGGCGTCTCTGTATTCCTGGCGTATCTTGGCGTTCATATAAGAATGACAGGCGTCTCTGTATTCCTGGCGTATCTTGGCGTTTATATAAGAATGACAGGCGTCTCTGTATTCCTGGCGTATCTTTGCGTTCATATAAGAATGACAGGCGTCTCTGTGTTCCTGGCGTATCTTGGTGTTCATATAAGAATGACAGGCGTCTCTGTGTTCCTGGCGTATCTTGGCGTTCATATAAGAATAGGCTGTTGTGTGTATTGTGTATTTCTCTTGGCTTTGTGCACGCCCCCGCTCTATATATAGCTGTCTTGGTAAGTTTAAATAGCCGTGTTCTCACCTGACGTGCTGTTACGCCCTTCTCTCCCCAGCAGTCACGCTCTCTGCTATATTATTATCACTCTACCCCTCACTTTCCCTCTAACACCCCCCCTCTCCCCCTTCACCTGACATTTCCAATCTTATCTAGCCTCAATCTCCCCTCACATCCACTTTCCTATCACTAGCCCCAACGCTAGTGATAGGAAAGTTATTATTATTTTGTTTTCAATTCTTCTGCATTTACTCTCTTCCCCTCACCTGTCCTCACTCCTGCCCCTCACCTGGCGACGGGGCGCCTGGGTGGCCAGCGGTGATGGCACGGGACCTGGCGACGGGGCGCCGGGTGGGCAGCGGTGATGGTACGGGACCTGGCGAAGGAGCGCCTGGGTGGCCAGCGGTGATGGTACGGGACCTGGCGAAGGAGCGCCTGGGTGGCCAGCGGTGATGGTACGGGACCTGGCGACGGGGCGCCGGGTGGGCAGTGGTGATGGTACGGGACCTGGCGAAGGAGCGCCTGGGTGGCCAGCGGTGATGGTACGGGACCTGGCGACGGGGCGCCTGGGTGGGCAGCGGTGATGGACCTGGCGACGGGGCGGCCGTTTCTCACGCCGTATGGGAGTGTGTGTATTTGTCTAGTGCAGGAGGTCGAATAGGGTTGGCAGGTGGACAGAAGGTTGTATGGCTCATCTCTCTGTACCTTCATGTAATTTTCAGCTCTACCTGCTGATTCCTTCTCATGTTTTATGTTATCCTTAAACCCTTTTAAATAGAAGTGTCTATTTGGGGTTTTATCTGTGAAAATTTAGTATCTATAGTTATTACCGGTAAAGGATAATCAACGGGCGATGTTTTGCGCCTGGCGACTGACTGATGTCGAAAGGAAGGGTAGTTGACTATCAAGGGTAGTTCACTAGGCCAGTACGACTATATAGCACTTGGAAGGGCTCAGGATAAGGATTTTGCGATGGGACGGGGGAAAAGGAATGGTGCCCAACCACTTGGACGGTCGGGGAATGAACGTCGACCCACATGACGCGAGACCGTCGCTCTACCGTTCAGCCCAAGTGGTTGGGGACCGAACCAACGGTGACACATTAACACGACTGCTGAAAGACGACCAAAAGTGAAACAGGGTGGTGGGTGAACAGAGTGGTAAGTGCTTGTTTTGGTAAGTATCGTCTTCCCCAAGAACCCCCTGGCCTTTTCCCAGCCCACTCCCCCCCCCCCCCGCGTTACTGCTCCCTCCCTCCCTCCCTCCCTCCCACTCCATCAGGTCCCTCCCTCCCTCCCTCCCTCCCACTCCACCAGGTCCCTCTCTCCCTCCCTCCCACTCCACCAGGTCCCTCCTTCCCATATACTCCCTCCATTGCCTGATCCCCCCCCCTCACCCCGTACCCCTTGCTTCCCGTCATCGCCAACTGTCTAAAATTATCTGCGGCGGACATCACGGCGCGACCCGTCAGTTTTTGTGGTGGTGGTGGGAGGCTGGGTGACACGGGCACTAGTGGGAGGCTGGGTGACACGGGCACTAGTGGGAGGCTGGGTGACACGGGCACTAGTGGGAGGCTGGGTGACACGGGCACTAGTGGGAGGCTGGGTGACACGGGCACTAGTGGGAGGCTGGGTGACACGGGCACTAGTGGGGGGCTGGGTGACACGGGCACTAGTGGGGGGCTGGGTGACACGGGCACTAGTGGGGGGCTGGGTGACACGGGCACTAGTGGGGGGCTGGGTGACACGGGCACTAGTGGGGGGCTGGGTGACACGGGCACTAGTGGGGGGCTGGGTGACACGGGCACTAGTGGGGGGCTGGGTGACACGGGCACTAGCGGCAGGCTGGGTGACACGGGCACTAGTGGGAGGCTGGGTGACACGGGCACTAGTGGGAGGCTGGGTGACACGGGCACTAGTGGGAGGCTGGGTGACACGGGCACTAGCGGCAGGCTGGGTGACACGGGCACTAGTGGGGGGCTGGGTGACACTGCCTGCTAGAGCCAGTAACCGGGTTCTGTCTGCGTAATGTGCCTTAGAGCCTCTTCTTGTATGATCCCATCTCTAGTCACCCCAAGTTCTCAAGAATTGGCGGTAGGAAGTAATAGTGCGAGGAATAAAAGGGGGTAAACAAGACGCAATTACACCTTCACCAATATATTATCTATCGAAGTATAACTACACTTATGTACACTGTGTCGCTTTCACACAGGACACTTAATATATCTGAAGTGTTCTTCAAATCCCGGTGAGTCCGCTATCTTCCAGTATACGTCGTCCATGTTCAATGGTAACCACCTGCGAGTTCACCTTCCTCAACATGGGCCAGTCCAGACACCGCATCGTCACAATGTCCCAATACTCAACATCTCTCCAGAAACACACTGGTAGAGGGCTTCAGCAACACACTGACAGGGGTCACAAATAATCACTTCCAGGGATCTCCAGAAACACCCTGGCAGAGGTCTCTACGAACACTAACAGCACTTCTCAGCAGGCAGCCCACTACTGTTGTCTTGTAACTCCTCTTGGCCAAATCCCAGGTCCATACAACACTGCCCAAGTACAACAGCCAACACACCGCTTACTAGCGACGACGGCCACTTGTCCTCACAGGAAACAAGTCAGGAGTTCTGGACTGTCCAAGGTGAACTGATTTCCAAAGCGCAATAGACTCTTCACGTCACCTCTGTGGGCATAAAAGTCATTAGCCAGACAGAAAGTATGGACTTGAAATGGATCATTAAAAACAAAGGGGAAGATAGACCATATCAACACTTTCGGCAGCCTCCTCCATGGGGAAGAAACGAGTCTAAAGATAATCATTGAAGGATTACCAGGTAAAAAATCAGCATGTGACCCGCAGAGGCTCAAAGTAGTCATAGAACAACAAATGGAAACCATCTCAAGACCTACAACGTCTCACATCTTCACCCCGTCTCCTCCACCTGTTCCACCGTGCACCCCGTCTCCTCCACCTGTTCCACCGTGCACCCCGTCTCCTCCACCTGCTCCACCGTGCACCCCGTCTCCTCCACCTGCTCCACCGTGCACCCCGTCTCCTCCACCTGCTCCACCGTGCACCCCGTCTCCTCCACCTGCTCCACCGTACACCCCGTCTCCTCCTCCTGCTCCACCGTGCACCCCGTCTCCTCCACCTGCTCCACCGTGCACCCCGTCTCCTCCTCCTGCTCCACCGTACACCCCGTCTCCTCCACCTGCTCCACCGTGCACCCCGTCTCCTCCACCTGCTCCACCGTGCACCCCGTCTCCTCCACCTGCTCCACCGTGCACCCCGTCTCCTCCACCTGCTCCACCGTGCACCCCGTCTCCTCCACCTGCTCCACCGTGCACCCCGTCTCCTCCACCTGCTCCACCGTACACCCCGTCTCCTCCACCTGCTCCACCGTGCACACCGTCTCCTCCACCTGCTCCACCGTGCACCCCGTCTCCTCCACCTGCTCCACCGTGCACCCCGTCTCCTCCACCTGCTCCACCGTGCACCCCGTCTCCTCCACCTGCTCCACCGTGCACCCCGTCTCCTCCACCTGTTCCACCGTTCACGCATTACTTCCAGTTAAATATAGTTGAACACCTTTTCCGGCTGCTTATTTATCCGCTCAAGTGCTTATTTACATTTGAAAAATGGAAACTAGTAAGTGTAACCTTGGCCACCCACCCACACGCACGCACGCACGCACGCACGCACGCACGCACGCACGCACGCACGCACGCACGCACGCGCACACACACACACACACACACACACACACACACACACACACACACACACACACACACACACACACACACACACAACTAGTCACAATCAATCAGTCTCCGTAGTGTAGTGGTAAGACACTCGCCTGGCGTTCCGCGAGCGCTTTGTCATGGGTTCGTATCCTGGCTGGGGAGGATTTACTGGGCGCAAATCCTTAACTGTAGCCTCTGTTTAACTCAACAGTAAAATGAGTACTTGGTTGTAAAAACGATTCTTCGCGGCGGGGATCGTATTCCAGGGACCTGCCAGAAACCTCAGCTCATCAGAAGCCTGCGCCTGGAGAATCATTTATTTTAAATGAATCATTAGGAATAAACTTTATTTAAATTTAAGTAACTTTAAGGGGGCGGACGGAGAGACAATTGGACAAACGACAGGTAATGCTGGTCAGACTTAAAGGCAATGGCACATAGTTGGCTACATGCTCATCTTGCTCCTTATATTTAAGGAGCGTCTTATATTTATATTTAAGGAGCAAGATGAACATATAGTCAACTGTGCGCCACAGCCTTCAAGTCTGACCAGCATCACCTGACGTCTGTCTAATTGTTTCTCCGTCCGCCCCCTTACCATTTCCCTCCGTTCCTCCATTACATTCGTCCAACTTTAAATATTTGATTGGCCGCATCATTATGTATTCTGCTCTGTTGTGGCCTGAACCTTTAGTGTGGTCAGTGGTGTGAGCGCCCAGCTTTGTACTGGAGAGCGACTCCAGGGAAGTCGACGTCGACTGGAGTCGACTTCCTTGGAGTCATCTTTGACCCATGTAACGTGTCTTCGTCAGCTTCGCCACCGAGGGCACCAAGGGCCCCCAAGTCTTTACAATGTCCGGGGTCAAAGAGAAACATTATCAGCCCTAGTAGCTAAGGCAGGAACAACAAAGTTAATCATTTTTGTAAGTGTTCAGATGGCTCAATACGGGGAACAGTTGTCGGCGGGAATAATATCGGAGCCGGAGAGGAAAATGTTTGTGTGGTGCCACGCCGGGTCACAACGGGCGTTGACTGTCATCTGATTATAAGACGCCAGCGTTGTCATGTGACGGGAGCAACAGCGCGGGGCTTAAGATCACAGTGTTTGTGTTGGAGGCGCGAGCTGATGCTAGGAGCGGCACGGTGTGGCCCTTGGCAGGAGACCTCCACCTGCGGGGTGGCGGTGGCACAGTAGGGAGCACCGGGAGGCGCATCACCCGCATTGGAGGCGGGAGGCAGGAAGTGGATGGGTGTTCGAAGTTGGGAAGAAAAGTGGGCACGAGGAAGGCTGTGCTATCGACGAATACTGTGTTGATCATGACAGACACAAGTGAGGGAAATGATGGCAGGGAAGTGGGTATAGGAGCTGTTACTGGACGATGGCGAAGCAGCGTAAGGGTAGGAATAGCAGTGGCACTCGGATAAGTCGGATGACACCCCCATAAATCGTTTTATGTCATTTTTTGTTGGCATTTCACGCGTGAAAATAACTTGGAGTTAAATATGGTTATGAAAGCGTACATGGGAGCACCGTGGTGTTGATAACCTCCTCAGATATGGTAATGGCAGGAACCGTTATCATACAGCGTCTATACAACCATCAGAGGAGGAAACTCCGTGTGTATAGTGCATGTATGGTAAACGTAGAGCTGTCACCGGTAAAGGTTTTCGAAGCAATATATTTATGATCATAATATAAAATACTTGGACAGTGTGAGAGTTGCTGAGGGAGCAAGAGAGCGAGGTATGACTAATAGAATGTGGATTCGAAGACAAATTGTGCCGTATATTGTCTAGTACCCTTGATACTAGCACAGGAAGTGTGCTAACGAGACGAGGGAGATATATCAGTCACCTCTACACGCGGGAAACATTCTCTCAGGTCTCTTATTTAAGTAGTAAAGTAACGTCGTATTGGAGTGAGAGATACGATGGGCAGAGTACACTAAACCCAGTATGGAGGAATGCCTTAAGAACACTCGACAACACTGTCAGCATCAGAGGTCCAAGGCTCTTCACTCTTCCACCATAAAATATAAGAAATATTGTCAGCAAAATTTTAAAATTCCCGAGTGGGATGTAAACATGTTCTTACAGCAGCTGCAGACTCCTGACCAGCCAGTTTATGAGGTCTTATGTGGAGCTGCAGGCTGCGGTCAACAACAACCTCACTGATCAAGCATGTCTGTGAGAGTACAAAATCATCGAAACTGATCCAAAGTTACTCAAAGGAACGTTTCTTGAGCAGGACATGTATCTCAGGGGGTTGTACGAGTGAAGCATGTATCTCAGGGGTTGTACGAGTGAAGCATGTATCTCAGGGGTTGTACGAGCGAAGCATGTATCTCAGGGGTTGTACGAGCGAAGCATGTATCTCAGGGGTTGTACGAGCGAAGCATGTATCTCAGGGGTTGTACGAGCGAAACATGTATCTCAGGGGTTGTACGAGCGAAGCATGTATCTCAGGGGTTGTACGAGCGAAGCATGTATCTCAGGGGTTGTACGAGCGAAACATGTATCTCAGGGGTTGTACGAGCGAAGCATGTATCTCAGGGGTTGTACGAACGAAGTATGTATCTCAGGGGTTGTACGAGCGAAACATGTATCTCAGGGGTTGTACGAGCGAAGCATGTATCTCAGGGGTTGTACGAACGAAGCATGTATCTCAGGGGTTGTACGAACGAAGCATGTATCTCAGGGGTTGTACGAACGAAGCATGTATCTCAGGGGTTGTACGAACGAAGCATGTATCTCAGGGGGTGTTTGAGTCACCAGGTGTTGAATCATCGGGGGTTGAGTGATCAGGACTTACAGTGATGAACGATTGAGTCATCAAACGCTTAAGTTTTTACATCAATTTTAACATTTTTAATCTCGTGTTTGGTGAGCCTTATCCAATAAGGATCTCCTGTCTCGTGTGTTCTGACACTCCTTTGAACACGCTCCAGGAGCCTCCTCATCCAAGAGTATTTTATGGCAGCTCTAACATAAGCAATACTGGCAACTGTTGTACCCCTCTCGTGTCCCTCTGGGGTTAATGGCTTGAGGTTAGCCTCATCTAACTTTGCAGGGTGAATGGTCTGGGGTATGAGTTGGTCATAGGCTGGTCTGGGTTGGTCCTATTGGTCTTGTTAAGAAAATGTCGGGCCCTATAGTGACTCGCACACGTAATTGTTGAAAGGTGGCTAGCCGCGTCCCTAGATTTCTTCACTAAAAACCGATGATCGGTTATTCAGTATTACATTTTCTGAATCGGAGAAAGAGAGATATAGAGGGGAGAAGGGGGAGAAATTGAAGGAGATAGGAAGAGAAGGGATGTTTGAAGAGAGGGAAGGAGAGAGCAGGGAGACTGGTGGAGAGGAGGAGATTGGGAAAGAGGGTAGAGATGGGAGAAATGAGAGAGGTGTGAGAGGGGGAGAAGAGTGATGTTGGGGGAGAGTAGGGGAACGCGAGATGGCAAGGATAGGGAGACTGGGAGAGAGGGTGGAGAGGGAGAGAATATACGAGAAGGTAGAGGAGGAAGGTGAGAGGGGGACAGGGTCATCTTGGGAAAGAGAATGTGTATATATAAACACACACACACACACACATATGCTAACATATAAATATACACAGTATGCTAATATATAACAATATTAATTCATATTTAAGAAAATTCATATTTTGAATGAACAGCATGTTAAAGTTGTCGAATGCGTCTTTGGGATCGACCGCTGGATGGAATGGACTTGGTCTGAGGACGGGTTGACCAAGTGAACGGGTTCGAATCCTCCTTATACTGTACATACCTTTTTGATGGTTCGGGAACCAATGTCCCCGCGACACAACCTGTGGCCAGACCTCCAACAACAACACCAGAGTTACACATAAAGAGGGTAACATCAGCAGCATGTGGGACGATGACAAAAATATAAGAATATCTTTTAAAAACCTAAATCAGGACTCCTTCAAGGCAATCTACACAACAATTATTAGACCAGTGCTGGAATATGGTCCACCAGCATGGACTCCGCACCTTGTGAAACATAAAACTAAAAATGAAAAATACTGAGGGTTTTGTAACAAGATCTGTGCCAGAACTAAGAGGGATAAGTTATGAGGATAGGCGGAGGGAACTAAATCTCACAACCCTAGATGATAGAAGAAACAGAGGGGGGATATGATCACAACATACAAGATCCGGAGGGGCATAGACAAGGTGGACAAGGATAGCCTCTTCAAATTGAAAGACAGTAGGACGAGAGGACACAGATGGAAGCTAGAAACTCAAATGAGCCGAAGCAATGGAAGGAAATTCTCGTACCCTGTACGAGAAAGAGAGAGAGAGAGAGACAGAGAGAGAGAGAGAGAGAGAGAGAGAGAGAGAGAGAGAGAGAGAGAGAGGGGGAGAGGGAGAGAGAGAGAGAGAGAGAGAGAGAGAGAGAGAGAGAGAGAGAGAGAGAGAGAGAGAGAGAGAGAGAGAGAGAGAGAGAGAGAGAGAGAGAGAGAGAGAGAGAGGGGGAGAGGGAGAGAGAGAGAGAGGGGGAGAGGGAGAGAGAGAGAGAGAGAGAGAGAGAGAGAGAGAGAGAGAGAGAGAGAGAGAGAGAGAGAGAGAGAGAGGAGAGAGAGAGAGAGAGAGAGAGAGAGAGAGAGAGAGAGAGAGAGAGAGAGAGAGAGAGAGAGAGAGAGAGAGAGAGAGAGAGAGAGAGAGAGAGAGAGAGAGAGGGAGGGGGAGAGGGGGGAGCGAGAAATTAGAAATATGTACATATCAAAGTGCTCCAATTTTATCCGTGAGGGCCCAGGGATTTCTCAGCCTGTGATGTGGCCAGAAATAGGGTGGAAGTGGTGGTGTGGAGTGCATAACCAGCCCTTGAGTAATGGGTCAGTTTATGTCTTCTGATTTTCTCAATTTGAGGGTGAGTTAGCATCAGGCGATGACTTCCTATTCCTGGAGCACATCAGGACAGCGATCGCCGGGTTATATACACCTTACTAGAGGGACCGCTGGTACATAGCTTGTTTATTTGGGAGATGTGCGAGTGAGAGTGAGGGGAGGTGTGAGAGGGAGAAAGAGAGAGGACTTGAAGATTCAGTTAAATTATGCATTCACCAGAGGTGTCACCCCTCATCTTTCCCGCTAAAACATGTTTCTACCTACCTTTTCAGCGTTTGTTGACGTCCCTTTGCTTGCATCCGGCGCAGTGACTGAATGGTACATGAATGCGTTGGGCTTAAGTTGATTATACGTACTGAACGTCTGACTGTCTTCAAGTGAAGCAGGTTTGTGTGAATATGTGTACATGAGAGAGAGGCCAGAAATACACGAAAAATGCTTACATATTGCAGGATGTAAATTCTGAACTATAAATATTGCCATCGAAACCATAATTTTTGCTTCGCGTGAACTGTCTCCGTCAATTTACAACCATTTCATAAAAATCATCAATGAGTTTTATCTTGGTATATGTAGTGTTATATAGTCATATACTGGCTTAGCATTTTCCTTTGATAATTACCTTGGGATATCCATATGAAGTCTATTTTAAACCAAGAATTATATTATTACTATCGTCAAAGTGAATGGAAGTTACGTTAGAACCGAGGAAGGAAATAAAGGAAACACGAGAAAAGTGAAATAAACAAAAGCGGATTAACAAGCATCACTAAATAATAAAGCTATTGGGATTTATTTGCGATATTTGTAATATTTAAGCTCTAAAGTCTGCAAGTTTGCAATGCCAGTAGACAGAGGTTTTGTATGTTTTTACATGTCTTTGGTATTGTCATGAGGCGATAAATGTGTCATCATGTAATGTTTGTCTGCGGTACCTGACACTTGTAATGAAACCCTAAATCATGAAGGTGGTGGAAAGACAAGTTCAACTTAGAAAATGCCTTCAAACTGCTAAACAAAAATGTGTCATTTATTTGTTTAAATTAAACTCAGTTAAATTAAACTCAGTCGTGCAAGACTTTAATGAAAAGAAAGTGTATGAGCAAGAAGAGATAAATAAAATATAAAATATATGAAAAACAATGTTTCCTTTAAACAAGAGATATTACAAAGCAGAATTGCTAGGTACCCAAGGATGTTTGCTGAGTGTGCGATAGTGATTAACCCTTGGCAGATATTTTAAGCATGTTTCCCTCTCAGTACTGCCAAGGTAAATATTTACCCTTTTATACCCAAACTATGTTACCTGTGCCTCGCTTGAGCCCCTGCAAGCACGTCACTATTACTGTAAGATACATGTTGCAGCCTGGAGAGGTATATTGTAAACAGGGTGCTGGTAACGGTGATATTGTAAACATTAAACATAATGTAGTAATAACGAAGACATAAACATTACATTAGGGTGCTGTGGTATTGTACAGCGAGAATCTGACAAATACGCATTTTGTGGTTTGGGTTTCAAATGAGGAAATATTACATTTGAACAAAAAAAATAAATAGTGAAAGCTGTATAATTGGCCCGTGCGAAGCACTGATTTCACTGTAACAGAAATTATCTGTAGTTATAAAATAGTATGTCTGTCCGAAGCTGGAGGTCAAACGCTTAGGGCTAACCTCGTTAACATTTGCAGGGTCACTAGTGGTGTGGGGAAGGACTGGCATAGGGAGGTTGAGGTCGGCCCCTTTGCCACCCATCATGAAGTCGGTGGATATGAAATGTTCGGCGCCAATCCACAGTGTTTTATAACTTATTCCAAATATTACAGAATTCAGCTATTGACTTGCGATATGTATGTTCTGATGGTAGGTTTGCATTATGTGGTCTCCCAACACTTCAGTTGCACGGGCTTTTGAGGACGACCCGGGCACTACAGGGTTCCCCTCACAGTATGGTAATAAAGAAAATGGGGGCTCGATTAATCAGGAACCATAATAAAAATGTATTGTCTGCACACTTGAGGAAGTTATGGCCGAGATGACTTGAAGATCTCCAGCAGGAAGACCCGGGTATGACCGTATGTTGGGTCATGCACCTTGGCTCACCTTGACTCAAGCAGTCATAATATAGTCCGTTAAATTGCTTGCAAGCATACATATATTTGCTGCCATCTCCCAACCCAAACAATGGGACACCGATATATAAACCCAACACCTCTTTAATGTACTCCAATTTGTATTAATGTTCTAATAATATATAATAGTCATTTTAATAATTTTATTTTTAAAATATGCATGAGAATATAGGTACAAGGATTGTATATTAAACAAAGCCACTTATACACAACCTGCGTATTTATCTTCTTGAGAGATGATTTCGGGGCTTTAGTGTCCCCGCGGCCCGGTCCTCGACCAGGCCTCCACCCACAGGAAGCAGCCCGTGACAGCTGACTATCACCCAGGTACCTACACTATGCATCTCATGTGGTCTAGCCCAAGGGGTGGCGAACTGTTTAGAGCGTGTGCCCAGATTGACGGTAATGTTCTATATAATTATCTTGGGTGACCATAGTAAATTTGAGCCGTAGCTTATAATTTATTATTATCATAATTGTATTTTACAATTTTTTTTGTAAAAAGAGAACATGATGTTTGATAGCATTCTTACATCCACCCTCCACCAAGCACAAAAGAAGTTTGTTTAAGCAACCAGTAACTCTTCTGAATTGTTTTAAGTGGTCCAGCTTTAGGAATTATATCCTATTAATAACTAGTAATTCCCAAGATTTAAAGTGAATGAATTATTAACTAACAGTGAGTTTTTTTTTAAGAAAAAGGAACCCAGTTACTTATTTACGTTGTAGCAACTATATTAATAAGTAATATACTTGCTCCATATTCTCACTAGCTTATGTGCAGATAATGAGATGGATCTGTTAATTTTACAAAACCTATCTCCAAGTGTTCCACATTCCTAGACGTCCTACACTAATTCTTGGTCCACTTATTACAATTCCCAAATGTACAACTAATTACAAATAATATATCTTCCCCAGGGTACAGGAAGCCCTCGTCAGCGAATCATCATCAGTCTAACTCTGATGCTTGAGAGATACCGCAGATGTTCAGCACCATTGACATCCATCAGCAGCAATGTAACACTCGACGATTTTAGTTCCTCCTCTCTCAAGACGCTGCAGCCTCCACACAGAACAAACAGCCAGATTCCGGCTGCATCGAGCGTCCACGCTCTTGTCCCGCATTCCAGCTGTTTGACCCCGCTCACATTCAGAGCACCACGCTCTATATACACTCTACCCTGCATCCGAGCTCTACCCGCGGCCTCCCTCAAGCTCTCTGCCCTGCTCTAGACTTCGTCTCAGCTACTACGACACTTCACTACATTGCCAACAAACTGACTGTTGTAACAAAGACCATACTCAATAAATATAAATAAACACCAAATTCTGACTCTAATCACCGTAAACACTTACGCTTAAACATACGTTACAACGTATATATTTATTGTTTTATTATTTACAAAAGTATAACAGAGAATTTTAAATTAAATAAATATTTTTAGAAAGATGGTTAAAAATTATTATTTTTATAGTATTGATGTTTCCCCATTTTGGTCATTGTGCAGATGGAGGAGTGACTAAATTTCACATCTTTTATTGGAGGAGAAACTTTAAACCACTTTTTTTTTACTTTATTTATATTACAAACGTTCCTACATTCTTGTAAAGCCACTAAAACACATAGCGTTTCGGATAGGTCCTTAATTCTTAATTTTCCCTGGAATACGACCCGCCAAATCCTGGGGTACCCATTCATTGCTGGGTGAACAGAGGCTATAATTAAGGATTAGCGCCTAGTCAATCCTCTTCAAGCCACCCAGGCCAAGTGCAGGCTTGCGAAGCGCGGGGCGAGTGTCTTACCACTGCGCCATAGATAATCTTAAACTATCAAACAGCATAGCATTAAAACTTGGTATCATCAGACGAGAGCCTGCAGATTAATTTGAAAACGGCAGAAGAGTGGCGACAAAAACTGGCAATGGATCGAATGTGTCGAAGTTGTTATAGATTCAGCTACTCGGAACAAGTTCCAAATAGCACGGGCTATGGTGAGCCCGTAACTTACCTGGCACAGGAACGGGGCAAGAAGCACGGGCTATGGTTAGCCTGTCAACACACAGCTTGTGTCAGCTTCGACACAACTGTGTCAAAGAAAACACGTCGTTTATATACGAGAGGGGGAACATTAGCAGCCTGCCACAGTTGTAATTACAACCATGCTAAAACTAGCATTAATCCAACCCTTCATATGAATCATATAATGCATAATAAAAAAGGATAATCTTTTTGTAAATATGTATTAAAGCTTTTGAGCACTTTTAACTGTTGATGAGAGCCATACCTGCGTAAAGAGAATGCTTACGTGTGCACTTACATTATTAAAAAAAAAACTAATTTCAAGTAATTTGCGACACGTACGTTTTGCTAATTTGAATAATCATGCGTTTTCATTATTCACCTTAGTGATGAAGGTGTATGATACTTATATGGTCGTAGAGAGTACACGTAAAGGGTGAGATATCGCTGACAGGCACACATTGCACGCGATACCGAGGTTTTCATGAGGTTGGCAACTCTTCTAATCAGCCAGTTTGCATGCAGGCTGCGTGCTGGTGCCTTAGCAGCACTAACTGATTTACTAAGATAATTTATATAAGAAGTATTGATGTTGAGTCTCATGATCTCATATTCGGGGTTAGTAAGCCTGTTAGGTTTCCCGACGTCCCCAAAGATCAACCACTAGCCTTTCCTAGGATACAACCCTCAACAGTTGCCTAATATGAAATAAATATTTATCAAGATATAATATTCATCATAGGATGCTATATTGCCCTGTTGATATTAAAAAACATAAGCTCCTATATTTATGATCACTAAAACCAGCTGGTTTAATAGCAATATGGCTGCCTGTTATATGTCTTATTTCAAGATTATGTAATGTAAAATGTCTCATAATTTATTTTTTAATTAATATACTTAAAAAATATTTATTTCCCTAGCCGTCTTTTTAGTTTTATATTCATAATATAAACATATTTGACTTTATTCTATTCTTCAATTAATCATGGCAGAGAGAGAAGACAATCAAGATACGACCCGTAATTATTTTTAGTAAATTTCCACACCGTATTACTTGTTTGTTTTCTTTCCACTGGCCTCCGGCATGACTGTATAGTGTAATGTTAAGGCATCTTGCATCACTTTCTCGGCTGTTGCCTCACGGTACTTCACATAGAGTGGAATGTGTCGGTCTTAGCAGAGGAACTTGTTTTATTAGTGAGAGCAGCAGAAGGCTGGGTGGATCAGCATCAGGTGTATGGCAGAAAAGCAGCACCCAACAGGCTTCAGCTCCCGTCTCCACCACACTCGTAGCAACACGACATAGTAGCAAACACAGGCCCAGGAACAAGATTTACAACGTTTTAGAGACAATGCCCAAAAAGGTTATTATTTGTAACACTTTAAATTTTGTGGACTTTGCTTTTCTAATGTGTAGGCCTATAACAGTGTGATCAGTGATTATAATGTTAGCATAGGTTTGGTTTAGTATACTATAAAATGGATTAGGATAGGATACAATAGATAAGGTATAAGGTTAGGCATATTCTATAGTAGTAGATAGAATGCATCAGCTGGCAATAGTACAAGAAACATTGCACGAATGTCTCGTTGTCTTTTAATTCAAAAAATGAATTCGTTTCAATACATAATTACATTACAATATTTATACACAGTAATATTTTTGTGAAAAGGTTGATGTTAAAGAGCTGCAAGGAATCCGCCTTGCACGCCGACAGAAAGTTCGGAAATATCCCCCTTCAACTGTGTACCTCCAAGTACTTGGATCAGGAAGTCCAGGTGGTTCCAGGGCTTTGTATGTCTTTACAGAGCAAGCCAGGTAATGTGGTTATGAATACAGTATATTCAGCATGTTAAATGTGAGTCTTGAAGTGTTTTTTTGTATTTTGAAGTCATTTCTTTGACACAATACACAAAGAGATTACCATTATTATTAAATTATCAGTTTATATTAACTAACTATACAAAATATTCTTACCTGCTGCCATTAACCATTACATCCATCCTAGATTAAATTTTATGTACTGCAGTCATGTACAGTATTGCATTTAAGTGGAAAGCTGAACTGCATATAAAATATATTGGTAAACATTTTAAATATTCTAGTAAAAGATTTTAATTTTTTAATGTTTCCAAGACATCATTACATAAGGCTACTCCCTCAAGGAAGGGGCAATATTTAAAGATGTAACGGTTCTATTGTTACGTAAAGTATGGTGACAATAAACACAGACACTAAGATACTATATATATATATATTTGGTCGAATATACAGAAGTACACAGGTGATACTTTGGTGTGAGTTCAGCGCACTGAGAGTCGGTACAGTATCTCGCAAGTGTCTGCTCTAGACCACACTTGAAAGTAGACTAGTTAATGTTTGCTATTCTGCTGCTTATATGCTCGGGCAACACCTCACCATGTTGCCCGGGCAACGCCTCACCTCATTCATCTCCAAAGGTTGACAGGAATATTAACTATGCATTTGGAGCGAGTATATTATTGGAATAATCTACTCGCTACAAAGATGTAGGTACTGTAGTTACATTGTTACATTATTTCTTATTACTATTTTGTAGATACTTATTCAATTGTGGTGAGGGTACCCAAAGACTGGCCCATGAGCACAAGGTGAAGTTGAGTATGACGGAGCATATCCTAATTACCCATAAGGATTGGGAGAATGTTGGAGGTCTGCCTGGAATTCTTCTAACTTTACAGGATACTGGAGTGCCAGAAATCATCCTGCATGGGCCTCCTGGAATTGTAAGTATTGTAGCAATTGATATTTATAAATATTTAATTGTTAATATTTAATTAAACATACATAATGATATTTTTCATATATAACAAATATATATTTTATGGATTGTCTGGTCAAGTTCTAATATGCATATACTGTACTTAGGGTAATTTACAGAACAGGTAACCCATGATTTGCAGAGTTCTGGAGATTGCAGATTTGGTGGTATGTGGACAGCCCACTTTGGGGTGGAGTGGTAACACTTGTCCAGTACCTCATGAACAGTTTGGACTGGATTCGAACCCCAGCCAGGAAGGATTGTCTGGGCACCAATCCTTCACTGTTCACCTCTGTTCCAGTACAGTAATTGGGTACCTGGTTGTTAACCATTTGGCGGGTTGTACTCCAATGAAAACTAGTGTGTAAGGGTTTTAAAGAATTCAATAAAGTAGCTGTCACAACTGCAAGTAAAATAAGAAGAACCTTTCAAACAAGAGTCCCACTTAAAGCTGGGGAAATTGTTGACCTGGAGAGCATGCAAAGGTCTTATACTGCCAGAATCTACTTGATATAACATCTAAGTTATTGGGACTGCTTAAAAATGTTAAAGCTGTATTCTCTAGAGTGCATGGGAAAAAGAAAGATACATAATAATTTACAGCTGAAAATATTAGAAGGACTGGTTTCAAATCTGCATGTGGAAATAACTCCACATGAAACTAGAAGGTATGGCAGGATGTGCAAAATAGCCCTGTTGAAAAGCTGAGGTGTAATAGGTACACTGCAAGAGAACTTATACCAATATCAAGGGCCTAAGACTTTTCAACACTCTCCCTCGACACATAAGGGAGGCTGACCTCTCTAATAACTGCCTAACCTCTTGCGGTATTCAAGAGAGAACTTTATAAACACCTCCAAAGGATACCTAATTAACCAAGTTGTGATTCATATATCAGGCTACGAGCAACTGCATCCAGCAGTTTGGTTGACCAGACCACCAACCTGGTCAGAGACCCAACCTGTCCTACAAAGAACGTCGCTTTTCGCTCGTGTGCATTACATAAGGCTAAAAATTGTCGTACTAGAAAATGTAAACGGCTTGTGAAAGTGACAAACTGTCCTGTTTTCTGTTTTGGGTCCTCTGGTAGGTTAAGAGAGGACACTTTAAATTGACAGTTTTCTTGATGTTGGGAAACATTAGGAGGACGGGCCGAGAGACCAGGCCATGAGGACATTGGTCCCCGGAACCAACAACAGGCACTCGATGGTAGTCAAGGCTTACCATGACCTATGAGAAGAGAAAGCTCTAATCCTGCTAAAAGGAGTCAGACATCGTCTGTTCCTATACCCACCTGCGTTTAAAAAAAAAAGCACTTTTATACCAATTTTTAAAGTGCATAGGTGAATTTCAATGTAAGCAGGTTGAGCAAAGACAATCGTTGATTAGTTAGGGTAATTTGCAGATCTAGCATTTTCTCAGTAATGTGTCAAGCTCACAGACAATACATTCCTGTGTTTTTCTTAAATATTCTTGCATCATTGAACATACAAAGCATTCTTTACTTCATATATGCTGTATATATTTTATTGTTAAATGGTTGGAGTTGTAAATATTAATGTTTAAGTGTTCTATTGAGTAAAAAGTGGAAAAAGAAACTAGCCTACTTGTATCATAAAGCAACATAATGAATTATGCAATTAATTTACTGACCTTATCCTTGGATTTACAGCACTAGGATGTTTATCGATTCATTATTCTATCTAAGTACAGTGGCACCTCGATTTACGACTGCCCCTATTTACAAATTTTTTGAGTTATGACATAAATTTCGTTGGAAAATGAGACTCGACTTATGACCTTTGTCTCGACTAGTGACTTTGCTGATACGCGTATTGGTCGACCGATCGCGTGGTTCCTGGTGGCACGGCCGACCCCGCTTCAGTTTACGAGAGACGCCCGCTTAGTGACGATCATGCTTGTAAAGAATTATATTATTTTAGTGCTTTTTTGTTTTTTGAACATAAAAGTAATTGTTATATATCATGCCGTGAGTCCCAAGAAAGTCAGTGGTAAGGTTCAACCTAAGAAAACATGTGAGGATGACCATAGATGAAAGACAAGAAATCATTTGTAAACATGAAAATGGCATGAGGGGATGTTGATGTAGAGTAGACAATGTCCCTTCCTCATTTATTAAGAAAATGTGTGTAGTATGGGAAGAATTGCAAAGTTTTGCTGAAAAGTGTCACCCAAATCAAGCTGTAACAAGCCATTGTGTTAACCTTTTTAATGACAATGTGAGGTCTCACTTCAGACAAGTGTTACAATGTAGGGAAAAACAAATGTTGCTAGACAGGTTTTTAGTGAGAAAACAAGCAGTGAGCCACAAGCAGGTCCTAGTGGTATGCAGGCAAAATGTAGGAGAGTGAGTACCCCAGAAAAGTAATCACTGCCTTAAGTTATAATGGAAGGGGACTTCCCTTCCAAACACTAACACCTCTCCTCCTTCGCTCCTCCTCACTGTCTTCCATACGCCATCAAGAGTCCTCATTCAAAGTAAGATATACATGCAGTACTGTATTGTAGCTAGTACAAAATGAGTGTTATTTGGTATATAATGTATTTTTAAGTTAATATTTTTGGGGATGTGGAACAGATTAATTCAATTTACATTACTGTATTTCTTATGGGAAAATTCGTTTCAACTTACGACCCATATCTGGGAACGAATTAAATTAGTAAATCGAGGCCCCACTGTATGTTGTCTCAGTTATTGTCTTCATAAATTACTCCACATTCCCTCCCATTTACATTAATCTACTCTTACATTTTCCTCATGCAGTCTACTTTCCCCTTCTCCACTTTCTTCTACTATTTGTACTGCTATGTTCCATATTTTATTTTTCACACATTTCATCTCCATTACACTATTTCATGATTTTTGCTTGTTTATAACATGGGATCAGTTCCTTGTTGAAAATTCTGAAATGAATCCAATTTTTTTCCCTAGTGCTTTTAAAGCTCCTCATCTATATATGTCATAGTATACATTACATACAAGTGTACTTTCCTTAAAACTGTTTCTTTTGCATAAATGATAAACTGCTAAGCAATATTGTACTATTATTTTCCCTAGGATTCCCTGTATTATGATACTCGACACTTCATGCGGTTTAGGGACCTCAACATTGAGTACAGGCACTATGCTGAGAACAATGGTATTATTGGTGAAGGAACTGATCCACTTATCATCCAGTGTGTTCCTCTCTGGGATAACATGGAAGAGTCTATAAATTCTGGTAACTCTGGAGAACTGGATGCAGATAAGGGGACGTCTGAAGAAGGTAAGTAATTTATTCTAATAAAAGTATGGTAAAATGGGTGAGGGTAGTATCTGTGTGTACATATTCTCCTGGTTAAGATATAAGAAATAGTATAATTTATGTATATAAATTCAATTTAAAAATTATTTTTATAAAATTTTTATCATAAGTTTACTGTCTAGTAGAGTGTCATGTACATAATGTTCAGTGTCTCATTGTCCTTATAGCAAATTATATACTTCATACTGATTCTTGCCAGTTTCCTAGTGAGCATGCACAGGCAGGCATCAATCATCTCTTTCAAGGCATTTTGTTTGGTGTCGGATGAGTTCTTTGGGAACAAGTTGACTACTCTTACTCTTGTTATATATGGTGAGCTCTGTCTTCTGCTTAGTGGTGGTAGGAGTTACACTTCTGTTGATTATGTCTTTCAGGGCTCTTTCCTCCATCTTGTAGGCTGTTGAAAGAAGCTCACATGGTGAGCTTCTTTTAGCTTTATTGGTGGGACAGAGTATTGTGTTGTTGAAAAGGACCTGTCTCACTTGTCCTTGTCAATAGCAGATACTCTGTGGATTGGTGGCAACACCTTACCTTACCTTGAGGTTACCTTGAGGTGCTTCCGGGGTTTAGTGTCCCCGCGGCCCGGTCGTCGACCAGGCCTCCTGGTTGCTGGACTGATCAACCAGGCTGTTAGACGCGGCTGCTCGCAGCCTGACGTATGAGTCACAGCCTGGTTGATCAGGTATCCTTTGGATACCTGATCAACTCCACTTGCTACACCAAATTTGTTACCACCCACACATCCACTACTCACCCACCACTTACACTACTACCTGTGCACTAGCACACTGCCATCCATGAATAAACTCAATACCACACATCATTCTCTACCACCCACCCACACAGCTCTCCCTACCACCCACTCAGACATGGCTCTCTCTACCACCCACTCATGGCTCTCACTACCACCCACACATCTCTCCCTACCACCCACCCACACATGGCTCTCTCTACCACCTACACATGGCTCTCTTTACCACCCACACATGGCTCTCTCTACCACCCACACAGCTCTCCTGACTACCTTTGTTGAGACACACCACTACCTCATACAGATGAACATATTCCATTTTTCAACACTCACTACAACCCCTAACTTTTTATCACAGGAGTACTTATGGTAGGAAAGAGAGCTAAATGGATAGCTATTTGCCTTAAATTAGGCAAATCTGGAAAATGAAAGTACTGTACTGGCATAAATATAAGATTACAGGGCTGCTAATAACTAGCTCTTGTAACCAAACTGGTTATTCACCAGCTATATCTGTTGTCATAAACTTTGTATCAAGTTTAAATATCACGATCCATTCACAAATATTTTTACTCACCAGTTGAAGACCTCTTTTCCTATGAGAAGCCTTGGATGAAAAAGAGACCCAATCAAAGTAATGATCACTATATGAATCCTACAGTGAAGCGTCAGAGACAAGAAGAAAGCACAAAATGTAGGAATATGGCTGTGGCTTACATATGCAGACCCCCACCTAAGGTATGTTGTTTTTATAATTACAGATACACTAGCTTACCTTCACCCTTCAGATGTCTTCTAGCATTTTTTTGTGCTACTTAATCTTCTACATGTGTTCCTTAGAATTTGTAAAACTCATTTTCCATATCGCATGTCTTGTTAAAGTTGGCCATTGGCCATTTTCTTCAAATTGTTGGCTCCTTTCATTTTGCCATTGTTACCTCCCTTGATTCTTTGTGATCAGTATTTCTTAAATCTTGCTAATGTTGTAATTATTTCATTATATCATTCATATGTTCCACCCATTTCATATGTCATTCAGGATTGAAACATGCACCAGTCTCTTACTTAGACCACAGTATTGGCAGGGGAACACACAGTGATAGGATGAGCTAAACACTACTTCTCAATATATTATATATTTTTATATTTACAGTTATCCTCCAACACCAGCAGTATCCTAAATACTCTAACCACTTAACCTGCCTCTTCACTAATCCTTACACAATCCTAGTGTCCAGAGATCAGCTGGTGTGTCTCAAAATACTGGTCCAAAGTTAGTCACCTCATAACAGCACACACAGTACTAGCCATGATATGTTCTCGCAAGTTCCACCACATATCACCCCACTCCAATGGTGCATAGTGTCCACTAGTTAGAGGCATACCACCATGGCACATCATACCCAGGGTTTTGCTCACGGACTTTTCAAAATGAGGTGCCGATCAGATCTACTCTTCCACCATTGTATCTCCAACAAATAATCTCTGCCCACATCTATAACATCCCCCGGCCATTTTTAAGACACCCTCTCCATTGCGCTGCAGATTGCCATAACTTCTGACCATTAGCTTCTAGTCACACTGCGTCATTCAAGTTGTTGCCAACTTCTCATTAATGTGGAAGCTTTTAGATGATTCAACATATACTAGTGTCCCAATATTATCTCATCTGGCCCTCATAACCAGCCCAATCATACAGCACTCATAATATGCCTCCACCAGTACTGGTGTGCTGCCACAAAGATTTCATGTCATGTAAACAGATAAATTAATAAATGGCATGATTACTGCCATGATTCTATAGGTGCACTATGTTATTCCTTCAATACTAATATTGGCATGAAAAGTTCAATTATTTACCTAGATTGAATCCTGTTTGATTTATAGTTTCTTGTATGATGATGTAACAGCTGCAAAGGATTAAATCAATGATTACAACAGAGCTAGATCTTATGCATGCAATAGTATCATAGTGGTTGCTTGTATAACATCTTTATCTAACTCCAGCTTGACATATTACCAACGACCCAGCATTCCACTATCACTAAAATATTTTCTATTCATTTGTTATTTATTCAAGTTGTTAAAAAGCCAACCTGCTGTGTTCCTCAAGTTTATTAAATATTATTCACAGGGTTTGATGAATGTCAATTTGTTTGTCTCCCTGCAGGCAGGAGCACTCAAGCTGGAGAAATGTGTGAAGGCTGGTGTACCTGCAGGTCCTTTGTTAGGAGAATTAAAAAGAGGACAAGATGTAACTCTCCCCAATGGTAATGTTGTCCGAGCAGCAGATGTTACAGAGCCAGATGATCCAGGCCCTGTTTTTATTGGTAAGCTTTAATATATATTTTCCAAGATTTATATGAATCAGTTCAAATGCATAGAAAAATAATCAGTAAAGCACATTTAATAAATTTTAATTGTTTTATATTAAAGTGTTTTTATATTTAACATTATATAGTAATACAGTATGCATTTTTTTTACACTGTTAAGCTGATCATTTTTTTTAACTCAACATAGGTAGCATGTTTTGGATAATACTGTATTGAAATTAATTCCTTTAATATCTGATCAGTGATGGAGGCCCCCACCATAGGCTACCTTGATGCCTTGTTAGAGTCATCTGCCTTCACCCAGTATCAGTCTTCCGCTAAATGTGAGGGAGACTTGGCAGAGGTGGTTGTGCATTTCACTCCTGCTGAAGTTATGGCTCATCCTCAGTATCAAGAGTGGATGGCCCGATTTTCGCCATCAACAAGTCATATTGTTATCAATAATGAGAGCTCTTGTATGGGATCTGAGGCTGTGCATAGAATTCAGTACAAACTAAATAATCTTAGCGAAAGACTGTTTCCACTTTTGAAAGATGCTGGCATTCCGTTCAAAGATATAAGTACTGTTGAAGAGAGTATAACAAGTACAAATGGCTCAAGTACTGAATGTGTCAAAGTTAGTGAAAAGGTGTCTGTTCAACAGAAAGACACAAATTGTAAAAGAGATTCAAGTTCTCAGTTTTTAATAGGACCAGTTCATCAAGCAACCACACTCCTCACTTACAACATTAGACCAAAGAAAACACTTAATACGTGAGTATGGCTTATATTGTGATGTTATCAAATATTGAGAAAATATTATTGATTTTATTACTTACATGGTCAATTAATCAAGCATTCATCCTCATCTATCACAAAAAGCTTGCATGGGCTACAAGAAAACACATGACAGAGTTAATAGAGCGGGGGACTATGAAGAGTAATGAGCATACTGTGTATGGAGTTGGTCGAGCTTTATTAAGTGCGTTGAAAAGTCTTATTGTGGCAAGTGGTGTAAGTGTAAGAATAATTTTTGTGAGAAGGAACTGGTTTGATATTAGTATTGCTGTGTTTCAATAATGACTGATGATAGAATAGCAAAAGAAGTTTATTAGTAAATTTGAGAGTAGGAGGAGGAGATAAAGGCAAGGTAGAAGATGGGCAGACATAGTGAGCAAGTTAATAAAGAAACAGGGATTGGGTGTGAACTGCACACAAAATGTAGTAAGGAACAAGTCTAGGTGCCAGCCATATGAAGGGGAATACCCAGTAAATGTTTTCTTTGTATGATACCTTTATGAGGCTCACTGTACTTCTAGTCTTATGAAGAGGTAGAAGTGCTGCTATGAATAATTTGTTGCAGTGTTGTCTTGCATGTATTATGTTATTCTGTGTTGTGTATAAGATATTGTGAATGAATGAGCCATATTTTAATATCTTTAGCCTACTTTTTTATATACTACTATTTTTCTGGGCAAGCCCCATGGGCTCCCTGGAGCTATAGGACTGATATTAGCTATATTAGTCTGGGGCTTCAGTCATATGGAGTTGTCATGCCTACCGGGAACCACGAGCCAGAACCTGGTTCCCTCAGAGAGGCGAAAGGAGCAATGGCGAATGAAAACGCTGCTCTTTGAGAGTATATTCATGTCTGCCATCGACGAAGGTTGGGCATCCAGAAAGGTAGGCACCCCAAAACAGACCCTAACTGGTAGAAAATTGCAACTGAAGACCGAAACAGAGGCTAAAAATTCCCCTTAAGAAAAACAAGGAAACAAGCAAATTATCATCAACCTGATAAGCCGCTCATTCATGGACCCCCCGCCCTCCTGTTTTGTCTTTCCTCTTTTTTTTGGGTCTTTCATGCCCGACATCTTATGCCGATACTGTTGCCTCTTTATTGTGTGGCGATGGCAGAGCCGCTCCAGCTTGCGTTCGTTGTGGATGTCACTTCTGCTCCATTTTGTAAGCTTTCTCATGCGTTTTTCTACCTTTTGCCTGCTCATGCACCGCCTGAGCCGTCCTGGTCTTTGGACCGGGTGCTCTTTTTTTCTCTTCACCTCAGTTTGTGGTGGCCCCTTCGGTCCACAATTGTTTTCAAAAGGCTTTGTTTTTGTTGGCTTTGGCCTCTGGGGGTCGGGTCGGGGAGCTTCATCCTTCCTCCAGTGCAGAGGCTTCTGCTCTTTTTTGTTCTTGTTGGGATTTTGCTCACTTGCAGCTGTCTTCTTCTTTTCTGGCGAAGAATGAGATGGCGGATTTCCGGAGGGGTCCATGGGTTATTGATGCTTGGTTGGTCAGTCCAGGGGTACATCATGTTTTGTGTCCGGTTGCGGCTTTATGCCATTACCTGCGCTCCTCGGGTTCTGTGTCTGGGGATGCGCTTTGGGTTGATCCGATATCCCTCGTTCCTGTTCACGGGCTAGGATCTCTCAGGTCGTCCGCAGGGTTATTAAGTCTAGCCAGCCTGTGGTCTACCTTCGTGCCCATGATGTTTGGAAGTTTGTAGCTCTTGCTGCTGTGTTTAGGAACATGTCATGGGCTGACATTCGGGCACAGGGGTTTTGGAGGTCGAACAGGGTCCTGGCTGCTTGTTATCTTGTGAATGTTCCTGGCCCTCAGCGATCTTGTGTGTTATGATCTTTGTTATGAGTCATGCAGTGCTGCCGTCTCCCGGGTAAGTCCCTCTTTTTACTTATCTTTGGTTAGCTAGCTCCAGGGGAGCCGATGGGGCATCCCTCAGAAAGCCAGTGTTGAATGTAATGAAACGCCATTTTCTGGGCGAGTCCCGGAGGCTCCCTGGCACCCCCCCCCCCCTCCCTCCAGTCGGCATTTTTTTCTTCCATTTCCTCAGTCTCCAAACTGGTGGTCAGACGGCTGGCTCGGTGGGGCTGCATGGACGAGCAGCGTGTCAGGTTGATGACGATTTACTTGTTTCCTTGTTTTTCTTAGGGGGGGGGGAGTTTTTAGCGTCTGTTTCGGTTTCCGGTTGCAATTTTCTACCAGTTGGGGTCCGATTTGGGATTCCTACCTCTCTAGGTGCCCAATCCCGGTCAATGGCAGACATGGATACGCTCCAAAAGAGTGGAGTTTTCATAGGCCATTGCTCCCTTCACCTCTCTGAGGGAACCAGGTTCTGGCTCGTTGTTCCTGGTAGGCATGACAACTCCATATGACTGAAACTCCAGACTAATATAGCTAATATCAGTTCTATAACTCCAGGGAGCCGACAGAACTTGTGCAGAAAATGGCATTTCATTGCATTCAACGCTGTTTTTTTTCTGGGCTGATGCCTAGCCGCTCAATGAAAGTGAGAAAGAGTTAAAGATGATGACTGACCCACTGCTAGTTAGGAATTGTTTAAAAGTAGTTAGTGCAGGGTTGTATTTATGAAATGTATATACTGTATATATATCATGGTAGATTTGAATTACTTAGACTAAGTGAATGGTATGTTGTAAGTTAAGAAAATGTGTTGTGTTGATGAAGGCTGGATGGGTACAGGCTCAAAAAAGCAGTCCATGGATAATATGTGCAGATACAGTAATGGTATTGTGAATAAGTTACTGGAATTGATTGGATGATTATGGTATACTGTGTATCGGCTGAGCAGTTTATGCGGGATAGTTTTGAATGCATAAATTATGTATTGACAAAGAAATTTTATGTTCATATATTCATACTGATATGTGAAATAAATTGCTCAGTATTTCATATTACTATAAACTGTAGAGAAAAATAAGAGGGGTGAAATCTTGTATCCACTTGATCCATCCCATGCATATATGGAAAAAGGGCTCTAAGATGGAAAAGAATAGATTGAAGATGTGTACGAGTAGAAGGCTTTGTTGTGATTCCTGTCTGACTCCTCTTGGAGGTGACTGCGGAGTGCACACTCCAACTCAGTTTGCTCATATTTCTTTTTCTAGACATTATGAGGTGTTCCCTCATAATGTCTCATTTTGTAGCTTTGAATATTTTAACACTATTTTTCAGCACTACGCCATAAGCCCAAATTCTATCATAAATACTGTAGTGTTGTGGTAGTTTTTAATTTAACTTTTTAAGATATTCTAAAACATATTGAATATAGATAGGGGCAGATAAGCACTCTGTAATCCAATTATTATCTTTATTCTCTCTTTTTACTTAAAAAAAATAAGTTATTGGTACTAAGTGCACTGTTGAATGATAAGATGCAAGTGTTATTAAGGGCAACCAGTACTGGACATTTAAGGGGCAGGGAAGGTTTTGAAGTATGGAGTATTCCCTTTTGTTAGAAGTTGTGGTTTAGTTCATGTTTAAAAGCAAGAGTCAGATGGTGTGCACATGCTGCACATGATCAGGGCCTTTATAAAATACATGACTACCCATTAAGCATTCACTGTAATTAGATCCTCTGATTTTTCAATAAAGTATTATTGTAAGATATGGAGTGACAGAGTTGAGAATATTTATAAAAGTTTATTCAGTATTAATTAAATTTGAAATGGGTATGACCAGAAATGTGTGTGTGTAAAGGAAAGGTTGATATTTTGGGAGGTGATTAGTAGACTTAAGAGAGAAAAGCAACTGAAAGCATATAGATATTAGATATTAACATGTTGTAGAAAACCAACATCGAATGTAATGAAATATCTCTTTCTGGATGAGTCTTGGTGGCTCCCTGAAGCTATCTTGCTGAGATGACTCCCAACTACTAGGTCACATCAGCTGCGGGGTTCTGTTTAGCTTACTGGGAACCAAAGCCAGAACCTAACCCCCCAACCCCTCACAAAAGCACAGAGAGTGGGCGACACTTCACCAACCCACAGGTAAAGCATCCAGAAAGTCAGTGAACCAATACATGTAAATGACCTTGCAGTGGGAGTGAGCTTATATATGATGATATTTGCAGATGATGCAAAGTTAATGAGAGTAAGAGCTGAAGAGATAAATTGCTCATTATTCATTTTGATGTGCTACAAGAAGACCTTAACAAACTTCAAGAGTGGGCAGATATATGGCTGCTGGAATTCAATCCAAATAAGTACAAAGTACAGTAATGAAAATGGGTAAGAAAGATAGGAGGTTTGTATTTAACTAAACTATTAGGGGAAAGCATTTACAAAAAACAATAAGAGAACAAGACCTGGGAGTAGACATGATTCCAACACTAAGAACTACCCTAGGCAGCCTGGGGAGTGCTGGTCATGAAGCCCCAGCCCAGAGCTGATGCATCCGTAAACATGTTGAATGATGGCAGAGGAAGGTACTGAGCAACTGAACCCCAAAAAGCCTGAAGAGGAAGCTGGTGATGCAGCAGCCAACGAAAGGTGATCAGGGCCCGAACTCAATGGTCAGCAGCGGTGAAAGCGGTGAAATCAGAGAAACTAGAACAGCCCCTGAAGCCACAATTGCCCAGTGGGAAAATCAGACAGGCAAAGTTCAGGCTCATGTACAATTGCTTGAGCAAATACCAAGTCACCCTGAGCATGGGTCTTTTAAAATAAGATGGGTTAACTCTATGGCATCCAATCAATCACATAACCATGAATACCATGAACAATGAATGCAGCTCTAAGCACACTCAAGCCAGGTCCACACAACACAAACCAGAAAGAAAACATATTTGTGAAGCTAAAATATAGAATAATACCAAGCAAATGGCCCCCCCTACAGAACAAAAGTCTAAGGATGGCTAGACCCGTGTGGCTGGTATAAGGTTCAACCACTGTAAGGTTCCCTGGTTGACGACCAGGGAACCTTACAGTGGACAACCAATGGTGTCCACATCAGTGACAGAACTGGCTTGGAGGACTGGGTGAAACCTGGAACTTCCCTCCCTCCTTCCCTTCCCCTTTCTGGCAAGGGAGGTTGATGCTAACAATCCATGCTAGTTTTGAGAGATTTGATAGTTTGTTGACATTGCTTGAGGTGTGTGTGTTTGGCAGTTTTGAGACTTTGGTTTCTTTGAATTCAGCAGTGGTCTGTATGGGTTTGCTGGCTTTCTTGATGCTGTCCTGGTGGGGTGGCAGAGTGTAACCTGCTCTCTGTACTTATGTGAGAAGCTGCCAAGTTCTGGTTCTGGTCCCTGGTAGGCTAAACAGAACTCCGCTTCTGATGTTACCGTGTAGATGGAAGTCATCTCAGCAAGATAGCTTCAGGGTGCAACAAGAAAGGATCCAAAGTACAGTGCTTATGCTTTCTAATCACTATCATCTCAAAGCACACAATTTTGTTTAAAGAACAAACCTTGAGCCTCATTATCCATTGTAGGTGAATTATATATGTATTTACCTCTTATATATATGCTATATGAAGCTTTAGAACTAAAGAAGCTTTAATTTCATGGTACACAGATCAAATGGTCTTGTGCTATGTCCAGATGCTTACCTGAAAGAATGTTATGAACAAGAGAACTTTGAGACAATCCTTCTGAATTGCAAAGCAAAATTGCAAGCTCCACTTCTGGAAGAGCAAAATTCTTGCGATATTTCAGAGAACTATCCAAACATTATATTTTTGGGAACTGGATCTTGTATACCAAACAAAACACGAAATACTTCAGGAATTTTGGTAAATATAAGGTTAGTATTAAATTGTCATGTAATTTTAATTGTTAAAGGAAATATTAACTTATCATCTTGATGTTATATTGGTGAATTTTATTTTAAAGGTTTCACATTTTATTGTTGATCATTTTCAAATACTGTATAATACATCAGCATTTTATATGAAATTTAGTAATTTCATCAAGTGATTTATGTAAATAATTTCAGTGCTACAAAGTCTCTGTTAATGGATTGTGGTGAAGGAACCTATGGACAAATAGTTAGATTATTTGGTTTTGAAGAATCTGACAATGTTCTTCGGAAATTGGTTGCTGTGTATGTTAGCCATCTCCATGCTGACCATCACATTGGATTCATCCGTCTCCTGAATGCTAGAAAGAAGGCTTTCCATCGAGCTGGATTGCATGACGTAAGTAATTTTAATGTTTGTATAAACTCTTCTTGGTTACTAAAAAATTTCATATAATTTCAGTGTTCATTGACTAGGAAATGTAATCATCAGTAAAGTTAAATGTTAATAGTTTTATTCTTTTTTTTAATCATTATCTTGTACACTGAAATATAGCATAAGGGTTACAGGTTTTTCCAAATTAATCAGTACCCTGACTCTTATGAATCAAGATATAAATTGAATATACTTTATTTTGTTCCCCAGGTGCCCAAGCTCTTTCTTCTTGCTCCAAGCAAAATCATGGCATACCTTGCTTCATATCATGCCAACTTTGAACCCATTATGCAGAACTTCACTCTAATTGGTAATCAAAGACTTCTTAGTGATGATTTAAACTTGGACCAAGAAATCTACAATAATCTCTGCTCACATTTGGATATGAAAGCAATTTCTATGACTTTTGTCATTCATTGTCAAAACTCATTTGGAGTAGCTTTGACTCACAAAAATGGTTGGAAACTTGTGTATTCTGGAGATACTATGCCATGCCAAGGCCTTGTTGATATAGGTAAGTTTTAGTTTATGGAATATAATTCCTTCCATGGTCAGTGGAACCTCGATTAACGAATTTAATCCGTTCTGGCACCGAGCTCGTCATGTGGAATGCTCGTCTTTCAAAATGAATTTCCCCATTTAAAATATTGGAAATAAAAATAATCCATTCAACCACCGAAAAACATCAATATGATATTTGATTTTTTAAATAATGGAGCAGCCTACCTGACATACACTGAACGAACCTTTATGACATTTGTTCTTTTTTCAACTTTGTTCACTTTTTAATTTTTTTATAGCAAAAGGTTCGTTCAGTGTTTTTATGCTCCATTATGTCAATCTTTCTTTGTTTCAAATGTGTTTAATTTGTATTAAACAAATTGAATGAATCTTTTTTTTTTTTTTTTTCAATTTTTTTTTTTTTTTTTTTTATTCTACAAAAAATTTTTCAATGCTTTGCAACATCACAGCAGTCACCCCTTTACATCCCAGTATTATTAGCATCTTTAATTTTTTTTTTATTTGCATCGTCGGAGGCATTCGAGAATGTGCGAGAAGCAGCGGGAACACACCATGTGGTTTTCTCGTTAATCAAACAAGCGCTCGCCAATCGAGACAAATTGTCGCCGATTGGTGCACTTGTTACTCAAAATGCTCGTAATTTGAGGCACTCGTCACTCAAGGTTTCACTGTAATATAGTTTGCCAATTTGTTTGTTTGAAAGTTTCCATAGGTATATAGGCCATGACCACTAATTCCTGTGACTGATTTTATTTTACTAGACCAAGAGTTGCAAAGCTGAAATACATTATTTGAAAGCTTGCTTTTGCCTCAGAATTCGGCCCTTCAAAGAGAGTTGCATAATCTTTTTCATTGTAGTGTGGTAGGTGGGAAACTGCAGCTATTCCTGTGGCACATTTCATGATGAAGGCCTGGTACTCCACACACTTGTTCTACAAACTCATTGCCAGAGAAGCAGTGTGAAATAATTTTTTATTGGCCATTTTACTTTAGGAAACAAATTTTTGGTGAACTGTGGACTCCCTCATGATATTTGCAGTATGTTAGGAATGGCTGCACACTCTTTCTTACTCTGCAACAGTGGTAAGATTTTATGTGATATTTTAGACACTGGTGCATCATCAACACTCTTTCTCTTCTTATCATCTATTGTTTATGATATTTTCCTTGATGAACATCTGAAACAGCCAGTAGAATGCAAAGTGTGACTATGCTGGGGCATGAGAATACTGCTGACTGAAGCATCATGGGTCAGCCACTTGGCACCGATGTTGATGGCTTTATTGCTGTAAACAACATAACCACATAGTCATGCAAAGATAAAAGTAGCGCTTTGCATTATGGAATCCTATGGAGCTGGTTCATATCATGAACGGAGCTGATCCAGAGGCAAAAATTAAGATTTAGAAAACTGTTTGTAAGACCAGGTGTTTGTACTTTGTACTTTGGTTTGTACCCCCTGTATGAACATGATTCAAAAGCAGTTAAGAGAAGGAAGGACGATTGTATATCAGAAGACATCCAGGGAAGAAGTAATTGCAGAAGCTAAAATGTCAGTATACAATTTTCTGGATGTTTTCCTGGTGTGGTAATCATAACCATCACCTGCTCCCTTTGCCTAAATGAAGGAAGCAGGGTCTGGCTCTGGTCTCCAGTAGGCCATACAGAACACCTATGGCTAATATGACTGTATCTTGAGATGATTTCGGGGCTTTTTAGTGTCCCCGCGGCCCGGTCCTCGACCAGGTCTCCACCCCCAGGCAGCAGCCCGTGACAGCTGACTAACTCCCAGGTACCTATTTGCTACTAGGTAACAGGGGCATTCAGGGTGAAAGAAACTTTGCCCATTTGTTTCTGCCTCGTGTGGGAATCGAACCCGCGCCACAGAATTACGAGTCCTGCGCGCTATCCACCAGGCTACGAGGCCCCAAACACATGGAGACAGCCATCTCAGTGAGATACAGTAGCTTCAAGGCCTCACCAAAAAGGGGCATTTCATTACATTCAATGCTGGTTTTTTTATAAAATGTTTATTTAATATTCATATCTGATATATACTGAATTATTATGTGTAAACTAACATTAACTTTATTCATTGCTCTCTACTTGTCCCTGCTCATCTCTACTTTCTATGTATAATTTCACTATATACTGTACTAACATCTTATTCTCAGTGTCCGTCTTTTCCCTGCAATACCACACACTTAATATTGTACTTATTTGACTTGGTTATCAGTGTAACATTTTATGTATTAAAATTTCTCGTCAGGTAAAAATTGTGACTTGTTAATTCATGAGGCCACAATGGAAGATGAACTTGAAGAGGATGCTAGAATAAAGACACATTGTACCACTTCACAGGCTATTCAGGTGAGCAGGATACAGTATGTATATTCCTATGGAATTGTAGTTTATGGTTGCTTTATATATGAGGAGCTGATTATTCATGTATTGGTAATAAGTAAGCTAACCTCAGTATTAATAAGCTGTTTTGCTCGATGAAGACTTGTCTGTGACAATTTTTCCTTGGCACTCCTACTAAATTTACATTTCTTACCTGTATTGGTAAATATTATATAGTGTACCTGAATATTATTTCCTTATTTCATGTCTATTAATTTATATTTTGTGTGAGAAGAGTTACAACTTTGACCTCACATTAAAGTTATACATAATTTTAAAGGTTATTTGTATTGTGACAAAAATACTTCCTAAAAACAAAACCTCTGTTTTAAGGTAAGTGCATATTAACTTTTTGTCTCATGTTTTTCCTGTATGTGAACTTTCATTAAAATGGTCTTTCCTAGGAATGAATCTTACTGTTAAAGGCTCTCCAAACCCATGGCCAGAATATGAGTTTGTTTCCCTGAGCACTGACACTTTTACCTATATAGCTCTTGTGTCCCTATCTCAAGCCTTTGTATGTTATTGTTTCTAGTTTAATGTTACATACATAATTTGAGAGATTTGAATGTAAATATTTAAATATGCTAGGGATAATGTTAACTGATGAAAATTAAATTAGTAGGAGATAGAACAATGAAATATTGTATGAAAATTTGGTAGATGGAATTAGTGAAAGAAGTGCATGTTAAGATTATTTGTTTTTCAGATTTGAGAGAGTGAAAATATTGAATACTAGAGATGTATTCATGGGAATGGCTGTAGGGTATGCAGATGAGATACAGTATATGCAAAAGAAATTAATGCAACAGATAATGGAGTTAGGTGTGGATAATGGAATTTTACGTGAACGTGGCACTTGTCAGACATGTGGAAAAAAGGCTTTGATGGCAAAATTGTATAAAAATATATTTTGAAAACTAGTCAACTGAATGTAGTTAAAATAAAAACCAGAATAGTAATTGGAAAAATACAGTTTCTGTGGTGAAACGTTTTATGAATCGTATATTGCTATGATACAACAAAAAATTTGATTGCAGGAAAATCTGGCATTTGTGGACCATGGGAAAAGCATATGACAAAGTGATGAAAATATATGGAGTTGGTTGAATGTTGTTAATACTGGTACTAATCTATTTACTAACATCTAAACTTTCTTAACACTTTTGCGTTCTTGGCGTGCGCGCCCCAGCCTACCCCCAAGGTGCACTGAGCGTTTCACATGAACAAGTGGCCACACTGAAATGTGTACACTCTTTTTCAGTTTTTTCACCTCATTTTTTGTAGTACTTTTTTTTTTGTATCAAATTGTTTGCAATAGAATTCCCTACAGGGGTATATGCATAAAAAGTCCAAAAGCCAGGCGTGCCACCCGCACCAAACCTAAAAATCGGGCGAGCGTTACCCGTGAGCACACAACAGCAGTAAAATGTGTTTACTCTTTTCAGTTTTCTCACCTCAATTCTTGTGCCTTCACTGTTTGTGCCTGTTTTATACCCAGCAGCAATTCAGAACCAAGATATAAAACAATTGGTGGATTGTGTTTTGAAGACAAAATGGTGCCGAATAGATTAAATGATTCTAATAGTTTGCCAAAGGCCTACATCTCAATAATGAAAATACAGTTTGTTAATGTTTGGATAAAGAAATGTGACCACATTTGTGCAGTGTACATTCTTCACCAATGTATTGAATACACTGTCCAGAGAAAATTTGTTTGATTACATTTTTTAAATACATTTCAGGTTGGTCGAGACATGAATGCCCGATATATTGTGCTGACCCATTTCTCACAGCGTTACTCAAAGGTGCCACTATTAAAGGATCTGCCAGCGCAAGTTGGAATAGCATTTGATAATATGAAAGTAAGGAGCAGTCTATAAATGAATAGTTCTATTATATTTTATATGAAAAGTTTTGGTAAGGTGTGTGTACAAATGTTAAGTAGGTGTTCATTAGTCGTGATTAATGGACTAATTGTGCATGAATATATTTTAGTGCAATACCCTCTCAAGAGATTCACCTTGCTGTGGTGAAGGCTCACGTACAATGGGATCAGTTGAGGATGCCTTAAATCCCTTTCCTGCCCCTGCCTGGGCATTATACGTGTGACCCCCCCCCTCAAGAGGATTCACACATGACTCCTTGGGGCTGGTGAGGGATGTCTCGGCCTCCCTCTGCTACCCATCTCCAGGCATTATATGTGCGAAATGGAACAAATATAATTCTACTGTTTGGGTTAACAGACTACCTGTTGGAGGGGTCCTCTGTGAGGGTCCATCCATGGAAGTTGGTTTGGTGTCTATGCTGGGGCTAGAAGGGAAAAAAGATATTTTTACACTAGTGTAGAAAAATGTACAATGCAGGACTTAAAAATAGGGGCATCTCTTAGGACAATGCACCCATTCCTTTGCTCAGCCTCCCTTGCTGACCCAGTGGGTGGGATCCTTTGGCTCCTTGGCCTAAACTCTTTAGAACAATGATGCATGGAAAAAAAATTCACATTCACATTGTTATGTTTCAGATTTGCTTTAGGGATTTACCTACTCTACATCACATGCATGAAGCATTGGTAGCCATGTTTGCTGAAGATTACGATGATATGCTAGAGAAGACTGCAAAGAAGCGTGCAGCACGGGAAAGGCTTACAGAAAGTTTGAAAACAAGAAAAGTCATACCACTGTAGAGAAAGGAGTCTTAAATAAAGAGTATTTCAGTGGTAGTTTTGTTTTATTACATATCAGATTTCACAGTTGGCTTTTAGCTAAAAAAAAAATATATATTAAAGAAAAACTATGAAGATCTGAGGAAACAAGGTAGAGGTGGAAGTCACAGAACATAACCCACGGAGGGGGTTGTGCTTTCATAATTAATTTTATCGTGTCACTATTGTCAATCATCATATTTTCTTTGCATAAACACACACAATAATAATTTATATGTGCATTATAGGTACAGTATATCTAATACTGTACACTGAAAACGGGGGATAAAATGCTGTACATTAAATAAAAATCATGAAACTGGTGAGTAGTATATTTGGTAGAATGGAACATTTTCATGTAGTGTTGTATGATACAGACTACTGAGCATAACTTTCAACCATCAGACCCATACTAGTACTGTATCTACTTTGCAAGAAGGATGCTGGCCCAATGCATGGCATATGTATCGGTACATAACCAAAAAAAAAAAAAAAAAAAAAAAAGGTAAATGGTTGATGCCTTTTTAACTACAGTATTATATTACTGGAATATGTATTTGATGCAAATACAGATCCCTGTGATACTATGGGTAACCCTGTTATTATTGGCTAGTCATGCATGCACAGCACCTTTTATTTACCTCTTAAGTGCCCATTGTATTCAATACAAAACACTACTAGTACACTAATATGAAGAATTAAATCAGCTTTGTCACTTACCATTGCTTTCAAATCACACATTAACAAATATTGTATTTAGAATGTTCCAAGCAAAACATATTTCCATAAAAATTTGGTATTTATTAAAGGTGGATAAATACACACAATGTATATACACATTATTTAAAATGTACATATTTGCACGTCATACTAAAAATCATCACTTAACCAGATACATTAATTTAATACCTTGTTGAAAAAACTATTCATCATCATTTAATGTTCTGTAATGTTATTTCTAAGGTGATCAAAAGTTAAATTTTTAGAACCCACTTCAAGGCATTTAACATATACATTAGGGAATTCAGTGGCCATCATCAGCCTATAGACTAGGTAATAAAGCAAGAAAGCAAGCAAGTAATAATCATCAAGAGTAGGTGCCAAGCTGGAAGACTATACAGCCGTGTTAAGAGAGTACATGTCCGAAAAATCCTAGATATCATTCAGGACACCAAGCAACCCGTTCTCGCAAATTTAGTAAGTCAATATTGACTTATTAGTTGCATGCATAGGTGACATACTAAACATAATAGTTTCCCTTGAAAAGCTTAATAGAAAATACCGACCTTACCTAACCTACTTAGTATGTTAAAATAAGCATCTTATAGCTTCGTAATTACAATTGTTACTTAACCTATTATAGGTATAGGTTAGGTAATAATTGTAATTACGAAGCAATAAGATGCTTATCTTAACATACTAAGTAGGTTAGGTAAGGTCGGTGTTTTCTATGAAGCTTTTCAAGGGAAACTATTGTTAAGTATGTCACCTATGCACATATTTAATAAGTCAATATTGACTTATTAAATTTGTGAAAACGGGTTGCACCAATATAGGAGCAAAAGTATGCAGGACCAGCAATGTGAAAAGTATCTGATTCATCTAGGAATTAAAGCATAATTTGTCAGAGATCTAGAAAATCATCATATTGGGATCTGTGTAATGATTTAGTATACTATTTTCGGTTAAGTACTGAATTGTTAAACTATGAAAAGTTCTCATGTGGAGCTTTGTAAATCTTCATTCTGGCACTAGTCTACTGAATAGGCTGCCAAAACATACAACTCAAGTAACCAAACAGCACCATTCATATAAAAAATAAAAAAAGGTATTCCTTATACAATATTACCAAAACACTTTAGTTTACCTGTAATATAACTTTTGGAAAGTGGCAGTGCTGACTTCACACACACATACAACACTCGACTTCACTTTGACCCTTACTCAAACAAATTTGCAGGAAATAATAAGAAATTCCAATTATTAACTTGAAGATGGGAACATGGGATGGATAACCAATGGTTTCAACATCCCCTTCCCCAAAAACAAGTAGGGGAGGCACTTTCCGTGTACAGAACAGACCTTAATAATATTACCACTAAACCTGATTTACAGCCCAATAATGGTCACTGCCAGCCCAACGGTGTTTAAAAATCCACCATAAACATGTGCATGTACCTACTGATTTTATAGCTGAACAATTACTATTTTCTAATAACAAATATGAGAATAAACAGTATAGAATTAGATTTTAGTGATAATGTATGAAATACAGTCAATTTACTTTTTATTTCTATGAAAAATTCAGTGACAGCTGATCAATATTTATATGTAAACCTAAAATCCTACCTGGAAATTTATCTGGTAATTTCCATTATTTTAGTTACTGAGCCAACAAGTACTAGTACTTATCACAATATCTGGTAATTAAAGGCAAAACTAATAAAGCCTGGATTAAACTGGATCCTGCAAAATGTTTAATTTGCAATACCTCATCAATGAACCATAGTTCAACTTGCTGGTAATATCACAGAATTAACTATAATAAAGGAGGTAGGGCCTGAACTAAACTAACAGTGCTGGAGTTTTTTTTTTTTTTTTTTTTTTTTTTTTTTTTTTTTTTTTACTTTTCAATTGTACAATATTATCTCCATTTTCATGCCTGAGTTAGAAACCTCTACCCACAGCCTCTAGGCACTAAGCAGTCTTGGTTAAATTTTGAAATATAAAAAAATTCAAAATTATAAACAAACTAAATAATAATTTGAAAATAAATAAAGATGTTAATAACTCCTATTCTCTTTTTTGAATATATTTATATACTTAGTGATAATTATGATTGTTAAAAGAAAAAGTTAATAGCAAAATAATATAATGATATTTCAAACAGCAAGGATTGTCTTCAATGATCAGTTTCTCATACTACCCGAGACAATGTGTGCCATGTAAGTTCGAGACAAACTCAATTAAGGTCTCGTAAAAACAGCAAAATCCTCCCTGGATGCAAAGTATATTGAAGATATCAGAAGAAAGGGGTATATGGCTAAGCCACATGGCTAGTTATATTTCCAACAAAATTGTTCAGATCAATTTTATCCTAACCCCAACAAAAGACAACAATTACGAACAAAAAATAGTTCCGTATATCCAAAATGATGTTTACCCTTTGCGGTGCTTGCTTATCAATAGCTGATCACTGCGCGATACAAGGCCTCGACCCTTCGAGCCATTAAAAATTGCCTCGTCTGCTGCTATACAATCTACACCCAACGCTTGAAAGCAGCAAGTACCAACTGTCATGACCAAGCCAAAAAGGGGGTGTAGAGTGAGTGTTATGAGCCTTACCCTTATTACTTTAGTTAATAGAGCAAAAAGAAAATTAAACCACACCCCAAATTATTTTTTTTAGAGTCCACAGGATAAAGTTTTCTAAAACTTATAAGTTACATGAAAATTACAAAATTTAAGTAAAGCCAATTTCAGCAAACTTTTTAAGTAGAAGCTATTTTTAGGTAAACAAAATATCCCCTTGGTTGGTAGCTAACTAGAATACAATTAGGATTCAAGAATTTTGGACTCAAAACGTGTATAAAACTTGCAAAAATCGGTAGTTATTTCTAAAGCCAGAGAAAATATAGTTACCACATATTTAGTTTATTATTACTGGCACAAAGCATAGTTAAGTGTTTCATTTGATTTTTTGGCCACACCAACATGAAAATAGGAGCCTACCATATATGTGAACAGTGAAAGCCCTGATGATTAATTATTTAACCATGGTTCTTATGCAAGTTTATATAAATGAAATAAGGAAAATATTGATAACTACAAAGACAGTTTATCAACAACTTGAGCAGGTTTCTGCTGGCAACCATAACTGACATGGCAGAAATAGCAACCTTAATTTTCAATCAGTACCAGATGCTTTATAACAAAACAAATTTGGTGAGAGGCCTATATACATAAGTGTGCAAAACATTCTACCTTTATGGACATGTAATATTGCAAGACACCATTTCAGTTATAAGTTTTAACATTTATATATACGATGAGATACTCCAGCAAACACAAAAGGGGGAAATAAATGGAAATGAGCTATCTCCCTCCTTATTAAACTGTTTAATTAATTCCTCTTGCTTATGGAATCAATAATATCACTTATGATAGCCTTCTAATTGACTAAACTATGTATCTCAAACAGTTTAGCCTTAGAATTTTTGGAAGTCAAATATTGTTACCAACTTTTAAAGAGTACTACATGGTTACCTATTGACCTAAGCCCGCTAGTCTTTCCTGGGACGTCGACGCCGTACTTCTGGAGAGCTTTTGGACTCCTTGTCTTCTTCAGCATTTGTGTCTTTACCATCTTCAGCCTGAGAGTTATCTTTCTCCTTGTCTTCACTCTCACTCTGTGCCTTTTCTTCGTCTTCATCTTCCTCTTCCTCCTCCTCTTCACCATCCTCATCCTCCTGCTCCACTTCCTTATCACTCTTTTCTCCTTCAAGTGTTTCTTCCTTTGTTGTGTCTTCCTGTATATTATCTTCCATTCTTACTTCAGAGTCTTCAACTAAATCTTCCTCCTGCAAAAGAATTTTGCTCAATAAATATTAACATATACTTAAACTTTTATATACAGTAATAAATAATACTGTAGAACTAAATTATCTTAAAGATAAACACACTGCATACAATATTACAATGCACCCTCCCTAAAATGAAAATACTGTACTTTCCGTAAAGATGTTGTCAAAAGTACAATTATGTCATGATGGACCAGGAGTAAATAGACTTTTGTAGTACTGAATATGGACAAATTGGAAAAGCAGACGAGTCACAATAATGTGGCTGAAGATACGATAACCAAACCACAATGAAGAGACTATAACATTTCAGTCCGTCCTGGACCATTATCAAGCCTATTATGGAATCGACTTGATAATGGTTGAGATCAAAATGTCGTCTTCTCTTAATCATCTGGTGTGTGGGATTTGATCATCAAACTTGATGATCAAATTGCACATCTGCAAGTCTCTGCACTGTATGTCCATAACATATCTTGTCCCCCACCCCCCATGTAGTCTCCATTGTTATACTGTATCTACCACAGATGCCAAAGTGCTGGAAGGAGCTTTCATTAATAATGAAAATAAATATGCTCTGCACATTTCTAGAACAGTGACTAAGGTCTTAAGTAAAAATCTGACAATACAAAACTCACATCATCATCAGCTTTGAGACCAGCTGAAGTAACGACAGGAGCCGGTCCAGGAGCTTTAGGCGGGAACACAAAATCGATAACACACACCAAGATCTGCAACAAAGATATACACTTATGAACACTATCAGAACTATACTAATAGATCAAGCATTGTGATTAAAGTAAATAGCATTTTAAAGATTTAGTCACATTCACTAAAAATTAACATCCTGGAAATCAACAATAACTACATGTACAGCATAGTGGAAATCTGGTTAAGTGTGTCCAGTCAAACTGAAGATCAAATGTACTGGAAGGACTACATTCCTGTTTTAAAACTGTTTGCAACAGAAAACAACAGAATCCTGGTGACATGAAACTTGCACTGTACTCCCTGGACCAAATTGAAATGCCAATTTAGTTTTTTAATAATATTTTCAAAAATAATTTAATGTCTCTCTCTAAAGTAAAATTCTCATGTCCTTTGACGAGATCATGCATGAAAGAAGTATGACATATTATGGTTATCTGCTACTCGCATTGGCATCATGAAAGAACTCAAAAGACATCTCTGCAAAGGTTATGCTTATTTATCCTAGGAAGTCATTATAAACACACAAATCTGTTGTCAGAATGACTGACAACAGATCAATTAAACACACAAAAATCTTCCTAACCCTTCCATGGCATTACTGGGACTACCAACAAGGGCTCTCATTAACTATTAGTTGGCCAGGATGCCTGCCTGAATATCACTAATGTCAAGTACCCATGCCCACCTACCAATGTTTCCAATGAACATCCTACATCTCAAATGGAATTTAGAGACTGAAATCCAGTATTTAACCCTTAAACTGCGCATGGCGTATATATACACCCTGAGTAACATGTCCCATGGTGCGCATGGCGTATATATACGCCATAGGGTGCCAGGCCTGATTCAAATGGCCCGCGGCAACACGGGGTTCACAGTAGCTTCCTCAGGGCTCTTGTAAACAGATGCCATTTTAAAAAAAAATCGTGGGCAATATTCTCAGGTGTGAGAGGCACAGTACTGTTGGAGCAACCAAGGCCGGCGCACGCAGCATGAGCGAACAGCATTGATGTTCAGCTTGTGACCACAGCATCGCCGAAAAATGTCAAAATAAATATATAATTGTTATTATTTAGCGATGACAATATTACAGATGACCAATGACTGTGATATAAATAACCAGGGTTGTGATAATAGCAGGATTGTTGTAATAATTAGCGCTGTGTGAGGAGTGATGCTGAGAGACGGAGGGAGACAGCATCGTTTACTGACTGTGTGGCCACCTGTTATTGTTTGCGTTCACCATACCAGGTCAGTGGTTCTCTATGGTGAACACAAATGTAGATACTTATATATAATGTGTGTTAGTGTAATAACAGCAAAAGGATTATGCTGGGAGGAGCCATATGGGTGACGGAGGTGACGTCGTCTGCACGATTTCTCTAGCTGTTTAGAGGGTGGCCACTATGCTCTTTGGGCGCACTACAAGCTTAGGTGTACAGTTACGGTGCATAAAACATGTAGATATTTATATATAATATGTGTATATAGGGTAATAACACTGCAAAAGGTATTGTTGGGGGAGAAAGTTTAGTGCGTGTGACTTTGAAAGAGTGAGGGAGCCGTCAGCCGCCATCTGTGTATAGCGACGACTCTTAGTGCCTGAACTAACTAAATCAGCTTAGCTGTACAGTTGTGGTGAACAAAATATACACATACTTATATATAACGTCTGTATATAGTGTAATAACACCACAACTGGTATTGTTGGGGGAGAAAGTTTAGTGCGTGTGTTGAGGGAGTGGCAGCGAGTGGCTGGCTGGTGTGTGGCGGTAACTCCTCGTTGCTTTTCGACTCTCAATACCAACTTAGTGGTTCGGTATGGTGACCAAAACATGCCAATACTTATATATAACCTGTGTATAGAGTGTAATAGCAGCAAAACTATTTGTTTATTGTTTTATAAACATAATAATTGAATCACTAATATGCACATCATACTTTTGAGTATAGCGATTATTAACCACTTTTATTATATAAATATATTACAATACACACTATTGAATAATATTACTGCAAAAAAACTAAGAAAAAATCAATCGGAGACATTGAAACAATTAGGTAATAATATCTTTGTGGCAACTCCCATCTGTCAATGCGGGTGACGCTGACCGGGTCTGACGACCGCTCTGTCAACGCCCACTTTTTGCCAGACTTCCTCGTTCAATTGCGCCCAAAATATGTCGCCTACGATTTTTTTTTATTTTTTCCGTGCTCAGGGGACACAAATTAACATGTTTAGAAGACGAAAAAAAATTTTTGAATTTTTTTTTTTCTTGCGCACAGGGGTTTAAATGTCCATATGACCCCTGAGCAGTGTAAGGGTTAATGTAATGAAATGCCTCTCTGAAGGAGCCCTGGTGGTTCCCCAATTCCTCCCAGATTCATCGACTCGCCATTTGTTTATCGGCTCCAGAACCGAGATGAGTTGGCTGAGGGCTAGAGTGGGGCCACCTGGTGGCAGTAATTGGTACTAACAAGTTCCAAGCCAGTTTGAGTGAATCACTTGTTCTATGCAAATCGTTAGCAGACTTGTTTTGAGGGTTCGTTTTCTGTGAACCTTCCAGTCATCTGTAAGATTTCACCGATTTTCTGGAGGCTTTTTCCAGTAGATTAGTAGATTGTTACCCACTCCCTGTGCCAAAACGTTGTTTTGGTTCGTCCATTTCGTGTTTTTGGTCTCTCCATCTTCTGGAGTATGGTTTGGTCATCATATCGTCAGCCACGTTATTGTGACTCATCATCTGCTTAATAGCATTAGATATTACAGTATGAGGGGGTGGTGGGTTCAGGGAACAGAGGTGGGCCCCATGCTGTAAACTAGGTAGGCAACACAATCAGTAGTTAAGAGCCCCCATTGGCAATCCTAACAAGGCCAAGAATGGGTTTGGAGAAACTCAGTTATTTTTATAATTGATCTCTGTCACTTAATATGAGCATGATGAAGTATTCTCCAGTGACTCCCTAGCATCAATATTACCTTGCAGGTATATTTAAAAATTCTGGCACCAATGTTGGCAAATCATCCTGTCTGAATGTGTATTATCTTGCCCAAGAACACAGGAATCTTACTTTAGGGAGCAACCGAAAGAGTCTTCAACTCAGAAAAATGCTTGCCACTAAATATTGAAATAAATTTTGGTTAAACATTATAAGAACTATGCAAACATCACTCACCAGTCCAAGTAGAGCACCAACCAGAATTGTGGCAAGTGCAAACACCAAATACGAGCCCCACGTAGGTAGCCCATAATCCTCAACTAGTACCGAGTGGACTGAACGCAGCACCATAGACAGCTAGAAGTCAGATAAGAATAATATATTAAAACATAAATATGATAAGGTAAAGGAGCATGTGCATATGGTATAGGGGAGGGAGTAGGTGGGACTTCTCATTAATACTGAATTTAGCCCAATACTTCTGTTGTAGTACTTGTAGCACTCGAAAAATTAGCTCATCTTATTCAAATTGTATAAAAAACATTAAAGGAAATTAAGAACAAAAATGTGAAACCATTGATGAAATTTTTCCATGCCATGCATTTCCTTATAACTACTGACCAATTAGGTTGACTTCAATACACTACAGTTAGTCGACTCGGTGAAAATTTCGAAACCATATACCACAGTTAGGAAGTTGCCTTCAAATTAGCTATTTTATTGCAGGATCTTCTGCAATGTTTTGTAACGACCGAGGGTAGAAAAAGCATGGAAACAATAGTTCTGCTTGCATTTTATATAATGCTTATAATAAACTAAACCTACTCTATCTATATCATTAAATAATGCTGCAAAAAAAAAAAAAAAAAAAAAAAAAAAAAAAAAAAAAAAAATACAGTAATAATAATAATAATAATGTGAATGTAGGTTCAATTAGGAACAATGCTATAAATAGAGGATAAGTTCCCAGATCACCAAAAATCATCACAAACCAATATTTGTGCGACATAAAAAACAGCGTTGAATATAATGAAGCGATAATTTCTGGGCAAACCCAAGTGGGTGCCTGAAGCTACCAAGGCTCCTCCCAGAAACACAGCTTATTATTTATCTTGAATAGTAGTTATGCTACTTGTCAAACTTGGGCAATTTTTAAGAGTGAAAGAGGTATATAATTACACGAATAGATAATTGAAAATACATATATGTACTGTATTGGGAATCAGCCATTTATAATTCATCACACAAGTAAACACCACCAACTCTCCTTCCATCATCAGCCCACCAAAAGGGTAAACACTATCAGGTCTTATTCAAACTTTCCGAGTTTGTGGATCACTGACGGCTAATGAGAGCCTCCAGCATTGCCATCTTCTCCACAACACTACTCCCAACATTCACCCACTTCCACTCCTGACACCCCCACACCTACCCACTCCCGACACCAATACACCCCACCTACTCCTGACATCCACATACATACTTCTGACACCTATCCATCCACTCCTGACACCAAGACCAACTTCCAATAACTATACACTCACCCACGCCTGGTAAACATTGAAGATGGTGGTTTCTGGGGCTGGCTGGCTGCCTGCCTGCCAAGACAAGACACTGAATTATTGCTAGCTGTCTCACTCCCTCCCACCTATACCCCATCCCTCCCTAGCATCTTCACACACCCATTCTCACTATACAAGCTACCCTCCCTCTCATTCCCTCCAACAACCTACCATATCCCACTCTCGACATCCATCTCCCACCCCCCCAGAACCCTTCCATCACCCTACCCCTGACCCCTTCACATCTACATCCCAAACATCCTCCTATTCCTTCCCATAACATCCTCCAATTCCCCACCCTTTCAACTGCTTCCTAGTGAAGATATAAAAAAAAAAAAGAATCGTGTAAAGACGTACCAATGGCTAGGAATGACAATATCAAGGAAAACAGCGACAACTAGTCTGCCATCGAGACTTAAATGTGAAATTACTATACCTTGCACTATTAGAACTTAAGTGAATAAAAGGGATTTTATTCACTTAAGGCCACATTTTTGCTCGTTTTTATAGTGGTGGGTATGTTTTAAGATATTTGATAATACTGTAGTAATTGTGCAATACAGTGGAACCCCCATTATCCCTGTACCCCTTTCTGGATACTTGGATTATCCAGGCATAAAGATAACTAGATCTCCATCCCCTGCCTCACCCACCCGGATCCCGCTTTTCCGTTATTTCGACAACCACTCCTCACTACTTCTTCATAAAGACAAAAACAAAATACTGTCTTCTAATGTCTGGAGCAATATAAGTACAGTAATCACAAATTTCCATCATGCCTATTAACCTTTAAACTGCTCATGTCAAAACTGCTGCTCAAGGGAGAGATTGATGTGCTTCCGTCACCACTGGGAGACTTAATGTGTGCTTCGTAACATTCAAAGTTCTTAAAGGTTCTACCGGATACCATTCAACACTACAAACCTCTGGCAACAGTTTGCCATATTGGGAAAAATCCTGAAAGCCACTGTTGCCATCGTGCACCCAGGTCATTATTAGAAAATACTGGCACCATGTCAGGAGGAGCATTGCCATCCATTTACTGACACCTATAGTTGGAGCCAATAATGCTATGTAAAATTTCAAGGACTTTTATGGACCAGAAAGATATCTGTGATAAAAAGAAATCTATTACTATCTACTAATATCTTCAAGTCTTCAAGATACACTTAGACAATTTCTTGCAAGAAGTGCCAGACCAGAGGGGTTGCAGTGGATATGAGGGGTCTGAAAGCCACTCCAATCAACAGAGCCTGTTGGACCAAGATATCACAAGTTGAGCCTGGCCCCAGGCCGGGCTCGGGGAGAAGAACCGCTCCAAAAAACCTCTCAAAGTATGCTCCAGGTATCTATTACTATCTTGTGCTACCCACTCACCCAGTACATTGCAATGTAGAAATGCAACTTCATTCCTACAATTTTCTCTCTATACTGATGTTTATCATATATATACAAATTCTATTACAATGTACCTATCATTATGCTTATTTTTTTAATTCAAGGGCCTGCCCAAAATGCTATGCAACAATGTACTACTCACCCACCTGCATATGTACAGTACCTCATAACAACCCATTGTATCTTCTTGTACAGTACAGTATATGAATAAATAAATTAATTTTGTTAGTAAATTAAAACAGTTTACTTAAAAATTAATTCTCAGAATTTTATGTTTTTAACATTTCACCTCATTATTACCAAAAAAAATTAATGTTTTTCAAATATCAGAAATAAATGTTTTATTATATAGAATGGAAAAGATTTTGTGGATTTTTTTTTTTTAATGCACATCTGGAAATTCCCCTAAAAACAGGTGTGAAGTTTGAGGATTAAATGAGTGTGTGGCAATTCTGAAATCCAGACCAGGACTGGAACATATTAGACTGGATTTTTTTTTTAGGTGGCAGGCATTATATACAAAATTTCAGTTTAACTGCAAATGTTTATACATTTTCTGAAAAAAATATATACATGCCTTGTGAACCAAATTACATCAAACAAAACCACGACATATCAAGTGTTCAATACAAATAATCAAAGCCAGTAAATTAAGAATAAAGAAAAACAACGTGAGTGAGAGGCAACTCTTTCTCAAACAACACACACAGTATTCTTACAACATGGAGCTGACTAAGAGAAGAAACTTACTAAGTGCAATGTGATAAGTGATCCTAAGAAATAGCTACAGTACCCGTGTTCCAAACATGTGATTGAATGCACAAAGTCTACTGGCACAGGACTGTGCCTCTCACTCACCCAGCTTGTCAACTTCCTAACTTTGACCTTTGCAAAAGAAGGGAAAAGAAAATGTATTACAGTATATGTATGACTTGTCAAATGAAAGTATGCTGCTATAGAAAGAACATCTTTGCAGCTTCGCTTCCCAAGACCACACACTTGTCAAATACGGTACACGAGTATATTCTCATTGCGATAACAGCACAAACATAATGCAACCACTTTCAGTCAACAATATTTTTTTTTTAAATAAATTTGAAATTATTACTGTACCATATATTAAACCGAATAGTAAAGCGTATAAATATTCAGCAACATGTAAAACTGTGAATATGGAAAAATATTACTATACACCCATACAACTAACAAAATAAAATTAATTTGTAGTGCAAGTAGCAAGATGATGTTAATAAAAATCAGTACATTTTCGATTCACTAAAATTGTTAAGATTTTAATGGATAATCACGTTTGTCAAATGATATTGTACTGAAGCTGAAAAGTAAATAATTGTGCAGCAACGAAACCCAATGTAAATATTTCTTAAGTATACTTTAAAATGGCTGGAACCATCACTCAATCAGGTTCTAATAGGAATTCATTACCATAAAGTTTGATTCACAAAAATTTCAAAGTACAGTAATTTAGATAAAATTATCTTGAGACCCTGAAAGCCAATGCAATGTTATTATCACACTTTGTTTTCCATAAAGGAAATGTCAACTGCAATAAATGATTATTCTTGATCAGTGTTTCTTTCTACAATTAAAAGAGCAATTACTCCTCGTCTACTAACATTGAAAATCTTCCACCTGTGACGATTTTGTAAATGTTCAATTGTAGTTATTACCTGCTTGCATCATGAGAGAAAGTGAATAAGAGAACCAAGTGATAAGAAACCAAAAATTATGAAGCAAAAAAACAAAAATGGTGTATATTAAAAATTAAGTAAAGAAAAAATAAAGTATAAAACATTTTCTATCAGATAATGTTATGTAGATGTATATGGCAGATGGGGTTGCAGTAAGGTTAGTGGTGTAGTAATACAGTATATAATGGTGGCTGGGACAAGGAAGGGAGAAGGAAATAAATATCTCGGTATAAGTGTAGGAATGTAAATAGAAGTCAGCCTTTTCAGCAGTTGTATCACTTTGATGTGGATCTCTGACTGCAATGTACACTTTACAGGTTGGAGTTACTCACCCGCTTTGCTGAACAAGAGTTTGGCAAAGAGGGGAATGTGTGAATTTGCTTAGGATGCAAGATCAGAGTTCAGAGACACGGAAAGTTCATGGGCCCGGTTCACATTTGCCCCATTTTAGTAGTATGGCCTTACTTCTAAAAGCTAAGATTTAGCAGGTTAGATCCTGAGAAATACTAGATTTGAAAGTGAAACTCTTTGCTTAGTGAAATTTGGCCAGAGAGCATGGAAATTGGTAGAGTATGAATGATTTACTCTTAATAGCTCCAATCACATTCTTAATATTTCTGTAGATAAATGCAATAATAGGAGAAAGAGTTGGAACCTTGGGAAAGCAATTGAGCATATTTAAACCTAAAATATATGGTTAATTTTAATTTTGAGTAGGAACAATGTTCATTTACCTGAATATGGGCTTTGCTATATTTGAAAATATGGTTTCAAGACTGGGGCATGGGAAATAAGCTAGATGTAGTGAAATCTCTTTACAGACAGGTTCTCCTAGTGATAATTTTAATTCACATCATACATATGAATTAAAATTATGCTCATTGAAATTAGCCCACAGTGGGGAAAAAATTAAAAAATTATTCATACCATTTCACCTGGTATGAATAGCAACTTCTTAAACCCCTTGGACTACACCAGCCGACATATTAAGGGGTGTGCTGGTGTGCTAGTTGACATGTGTTTATGTGAGTACCGTATTTGCCGGCATATAAGATGTGTTTTTTATTTTTAAATGTATCCAAAAATTCCCCCGTGTTTTATGCGACCATATTACGGATGTGAGACTGAGCGCCATGGGCTACGGATCCGGACGAGCATACTGGGTAAGTTCGCTAAGCACCAAAACCATTGTTAATAATAAAATATTGAAAATATGCCAAATTATTATAGTAAATTGTGTTACTAATAATAAAAATATTGAAAACAAACCGAGTTATCATAGTCTGTTATTACAAACTTACGAAAAATTGCATACGATGTACATCAGCAGTTATGAGGGAAGCTCACATCTCACCACCCTACCCAGCATACATAACCCTCCTGATATGTCATACATTATTTAACGACTGTTACCTTTAAGAAACATTTATTCATAATCTAAATGAAAAATGCTCCTAGAAATTTGAAAGGAATGACTTTCATCCACCTGTCAGCCATTTGCAATGAGTGAATGACAACAAAACCAGGGCGCTGTGACGGTGCGCCACCACTGGGAGCGCCGTCCTGGTGGCGTGTTGCAGCAACACAGGATATCACAGCCAAAAATACAAGTTTCATATCCTGCACAGCAATTCTCTTGCCCAAGATATAAACAACTGCACCGCTGATCTTAGAAGAGGCAAGAGTTGGGGTACAAAATCCACTTTAAAATATCTTTCAATACATTAAATGTATGATGAAACATGCTAAAATACTGTAGTTTTTCCACAAAATATTCTTGTAAAATAGAGGTGGGTCCTATGCAAGGGTGCATCTTTTACACCAACAAACACGGTATATCATAAGATTCGAGACTCCCATGCATACAAGGGGGTGCACATTTGCTTTCTCAAGTATTTAGATCTTGAAAAAACATCCTCAGTCCATCATTTAGTAATGTGGACTAGATTACTAAGGCCTACAAAACGTTCTCAAGGCCATGGTTTTAGGAACGTGTAGGGCAGCCATACTAATACAGTATTAAAACAGGTTAATTTCCTTAAGTTAATATCAAGTTACAAGAATTTCAACATACCTTAAAGAACTGAGAAACAACAGACATCTGAAGTGAGGCAGGGGACTTCCAGGCAGGCACTTCTTCTATTGCCTCCCAACGACGTTCCTCAACAAAGCTCATAAACTCATCTTTGTCACGGGAGCCTCGATACTGACGGAAAACTCCTTCTTTGACACTTTAATAAAATTAATGTATGTAAGTTATGCAGAATTTTAACCATCAAGTAAATACTGTACTTTAACAATTCCTAAAAAATTTCATTACAATTATTATCAAGTGTAAGTTGAACAATAATAATTAACCGAGCTGAACATTCAGGCATTCAATACAGTATTTAGAGAACAGAACATATTTGAACATATACACTTCACTTCAAGCATCCGGGCTCAAAATGAAATACTCTGTATAGAGAAATATGCCACACATAATCACATACTACATATATCAAACCCGACAATAAGTTTCCCTTCATTTCCAATTTATCTTTCCAACTTAGTTTTTTTTTGTACCAGCTATGTAAGGCTTGAAAGGTAAAGTTAGATTTTAAGTCAGTTGAAAATAGGAAACTTTTATTTAACCACCATAACCGTGCTACCCAGTTTAAGTCGATCCATTAGTACGAGAATGTAACATAGCCGTCAAACAAGAAATGGCCATAACTATCACCAGTAATTAACCCATACCCACAATTGTTTTCAAGTTTTGAACATAGATTATATAGTATTGTTATACTGTACATACTGGGGTATGATGGTTCTTGGTACCCCTCTAATCATCACTTAAGTATAGGTCCAGTATCAGAGGAGTTTTTTTTTAATTTTGCATATGTGAAAAATATTTTAAATTTAATTTTATTTCTTGTATAGCTTTCTGTTCTAACTGCATTTCTTCAATCTGGTATGACTGCTTCAGCTTCTGCTGTAGTTCTTTAATCTCCCTATTTAAATTACTTTTTCTTTGTTGGGATAGTTATATCTGAAAGCAATTCAGTTATTCTTTTCCTTCTATAGTGTCATCTGCATTCCCTTTCTAACTTGGTCCTCTCTTTGATCTTCCACAAAGGTACATATTTGAATCTGATCTTGTACACTTCTGCTATCAATTTTTCTATTCCTTGTATGGAAGTTTTGGTACTTCAGCAGTTTCTCATTGGATGACAGTAAATTCCACTTATTTTGTCCTAATCAATCTTGCTTGTTAATCCTTTTGGACATAGTATGAGTACTGTATCAACGTTAGTTTTGAGTTCAAGGAGTTTATGATCTGAGAATGTAGTATCTGAGAATGTAATGTCCCTAATTATATCTTCATTATTTGTGAAAATCAGATTTAAGAATATTTTCATTCTTAGATGGCTCTGTTATCTACTGGCTGACCTGTGCTTGGTTATTTCCAGGTTGATTTTGTTATACTGTAATATTATTGTTAGATATTCTGCATCTTAAACTGGGAAGGTTTAAGTCTCCAAGATAATATTCGCCACTAGGACTCCTAGAATATCAAGGCAATTCTCCATTTTGTTTAATTTCTCTGAATTCCTCAACCACTGTCAGATGCAGTAGTCGAGGAATTTATAAATCAGAATAAAAAGAGGTTTATGTTCTTTACTTTGATTCCAAGTACTGTACCTCTACCACTGGGCCTGATGGCCGAGTGGACAGTGCTTAGGATTCGTACACCCAAGGTTCTGGGTTCGATCCCCAGTGGAGGCAGAAACAAATGGGCAGTTTCTATCACCCTAATGCCACTGTTCACCTAGTAGTAAATAGGCACCTGGGAGTTCAGCTGCTATGGGCTGCTTCCTGGGGATATCTAACATAAAGGGGGCCTGGTCGAAGACCGGGATGCAGGGACGCTAAGCCCCGAAATCATCTCAATGTAACCTCAAGGTAAGTAACCAGGCCTTGTATGAAGGCAAATATCAAAAGACTTTCCATATTGTGTGTCTCTTTTGATAGGTTTTGGGAGTTCTCTTCTCTTCCCATTATGACCCCATCTGCACAACTGTAATGTTTTTGTCTAACTTCAGATTTCTTGTGTATTCTACTGTGTGTGCCCCCCCTTCCCCCCCCCCCCCCCCCAAAAAAAAAAAATCTTTCAGATATCACATTGTTCTTCCTCTTCTCGATAACACACTGTTCCTCTCATGTGGAAGTCTGGGCATTTAAGATCATAGCATTTCCTATCTTTAACTGAGCTGACATAACTTGGGGTGGAAAAATCTGTACTGTTCCAAAATGGCATAATCCTTTCCCCCAACATACACCAGCATTTTCTGGTATGTACAAAACTGCATTTCATGTCTCTGGTTCTTTTTTGCATATACTTTTTCTATAGTATTTGCATAGCTTTTCATTTGTGGGTTTTCAGTTGATTTGCATTTCTGATCTTGTATTTGTGACCAATTCCACAGAGCCATTTTTCTGGCTTAATTTCTGTTTATTTACACTAATATGCATAATTCAAGGTTGCTCTAGTGTACATGCTCAAGGTTATTCTATCTATTATGTATACTTTATGTTCAAAGATTGTTCTTGTGTTATGTTCCAAGTCTGCTCTAGTCAATAGAGCCCCCATGGAATATAAATACTAGAGTGCCAGGCGTATGCATACCTCGGTATTAGAGGAAACATTACAATATTTTGATTACGCGAGTATTAAACCCAACATACCGTCAAATAGTGTAGCCATTTTTCTATAAAACAAACTCGCCCATTTCACTTAAAAGTCAAATACCATTCTAAACTACCAGATCCATAAACTATTTAATTGTTTTTAATTCATGTCTATCAGTCCTAAAAGTTATGTCAACCACACTTTAACATTAATGAAGAAACTACCGTAACAAAAACAATCCTAAAAACTAAAATGCTTCAATAAAAGCTTACTGGTAGATTGTAGGAAGTGCCGTGACCATGAAACGTCCTGAAAGTCCAGGTGAAGAGGTTACATCAACCTGGCCTACAGATATTGCAAGATCAGTGCTCCAAGTTGCAAAATCTTCCCAAATAGGCTTCAAGGCCTTACATGCTGGACACCATGGAGCAAAACTGTGGAAAACAAATTAATATACTGTACTGTACTTTCAGAAAAACAATAGTCCTCTTCACTACATTATGAACAAACTATCTTTGGAACATCAGTATTCCTGAAATTCAGATATTGAATTAATTCTAGAACACCAAGGAGAATCTTAGAATCTTATAAAATCTGAAAAAATCTTAGTTAATATCAGATTTTGTTCAATAAACGTCAGGAATCACAGCACACATGTACATAGGTGTATGCATGCACACAGACTCGAAACCCTTGGGCAAGAAGCCACCTAAATAAATAACTGTATATGATGCTTATATTAAGTGTATTGTGAAACTTGTAACAAAAAAAATATCTGATAAGACAGCTAAATCAAACTACTGTAATACTGAAGTAATGAAACATTAATACTTAACTGAAATACAGGTACATACTGCATGCTACAGCAAAGCATAAATTGAAATTACTTTAATAATACTGTAGTTTAATTTTGATTAAAAATGGTGTAAAGCTGTGGATTGAATTATGGTCTTTGTATTTATGTTTTTACATGTATAAATAAGCATTTTTTCATTTTTGTCAATAAGTTATTTAATAATTCCTGTATTGTAGTGCAGTCAAAACATTTCTGAAATTATAGTCCCTATCACTATATGGACTATTAGTGCCCCTTATGCAAAGACATAGCGAACTCAAGGCCAGTGAAACAGGAAAAAATGGAAATTAATCACGAGGCCGGCTAGACACGAGGCTGGTTAATACACACACACATATAATTATAATTTAATTATTTATACAGCATTGAATTCACTCAGCCAATTGGAGCCTGGGAACCACAGACCAGCAGAGGGTCCAGCTCTGACCACTGAGGTATTAACACCCAAAATATAAATAGGATCTCAAAGATATGCAACTGGTATCCAACTGAGAATTTAGGCCTCCTCCCCTGGGGTAACATTTAACCCTGGACGCATTATTTGTCAATTATCATCTAGCTTGGTAACATTTGCTTTGTGACAAGGAATGAGCAGCACTCGTGACTTTAGTCATGACCAGAGTCACTACCAACATCTTTACATGACACTCTTCTACAGACCTTTAAGAGGACCATATTGTACACTATTACAAAAGTTATTGTGTTTTCTCACGTGTAGGCCTACGCGGTCCTTCACTTGACTAATGAGCTCTTAATAAACCTAAAGACTGTGAATCTTGGGAGCAATTCAACATATGACCACATCCAGGAAATGTATGCATACATAATTATACAATAATAATAATATTGGGTTTTCATGGTTTTAAACCATACTGCTCAAAGCAAAATTTAACACAATACTTTAAATGGAACAAATATATTGGAGAAGTTTTACGGCAATCTAATTCTAGATGAAGTCAGCCCTCAGTCACCCAGTTATCTCCACTCTACGCAACAACCCAACAATATCAACAGAAAAAAATAAATATACATACGTCTTATATAGCTTATCTTTTTGTGATAGGAAACTTGCGGTTTAAGCAAGAGACCCAAAGACCTATACCCCCACCCTATACACGGGAGGAGACAAGCACTCCCACTCACTCCCACAACACCAGCACCTCTCACTGCTACATTAGGCCATGACTGGGATCAAAACTAGGCCTATAGGACTACGAGAGAAGGTGAGAGAGGCGGCGGCGGTCCCGTGGTAGTGGAGAGGCCGCCCCCCGCCGCCGGACACCGCCCTCCACCCCGCCATACTTACAACTCCACCATCCACTCCCCCTCCAGCATTTGGTGCCAGTTGTCTTCATTGAGGTCTATGACGCTGCTTTTGGCCTTAATTTGGATTATAAGCTGCAGGAGGACTAGAGAACAGAGGAGCGTGTATCTTCGCCTGTCAGTCGCCATCTTGGCCCGTGACGTCACCGGCAAACAGTACGTCGAGGGAGGTGGTTGGCTGCCCCCGGCACCCCCCCTACACCCGCCATATTCAAACCTCTTCCCTACCTCCATCTCTGTCAACCCTACCATCACACCAAACCTCTCTTCTAGCCACCCCCACCACCATCTGTGTCAACCCCACCACCATCTGTCAACCCTACCACCATCCCTGTCAACCCCACCACCACACCAAACCTCCTCTCTCGCCACCCCTACCACCATTTCTGTCAACCCTACCACCATCTCTGTAAACCCTACTACCATCACTGTCAACCCCAACACCATCTCTGTCAACCCCACCACCACAAGAAACCTCCCCTCTAGCCACCCCCACCTCAATCCCTGTCAATCCTGCCCGAAACGCTATCCTTAAATTGTGCTTCAGTGAACCAATGTATATCAAGTTCAAGTTCAAGTATGTTTATTGAGATAAGCAATAAATACATCTCAAAGGGATAGAGTAGCTTAGGCTATTTCTACCCCCCTCTACTTCAAGTCCCTCAAGGGGCGCACAAATTCAGTGAGTACAAATAGACAAATAACATTACAAGAATCCCATTGTATATCCCTGAAATGTTATCCTAATGTACCCAGTAATCCTTGTTCATTATAGTGTATTGTTATTATTGTGTATTATTCTAATCTTTGTTTTTGTATCAAAATTTCTTACAATGTACCTGTAAATTTTTTTGTCAATTTTACTGTAATTTATCTACTTGAAATTATCTGTACCTGTAAAGTAAAGCTGTAAAGTACCTGTAAAAAAATTTTTTGTCAATTTTACTGTAAATTATCTACTTATAATTATCTGTTAGTTTAAGGACTTCCCCGAAACGCTATCCATGCTAGTGGCCTTACAAGAATGTAAAATCAACCTCATTTCTATGTTCTCTCTTAACCCCCAATGTACCTTCTTGTAAATAAATAAATAAATAAATAAATAAATAAATAAATAAATAAATAAATAAATAAATAAATAAATAAATGCGTGCTAGTGGCTTTACAAGAATGTAAAACTTCAAGTCTCTGTACTCTCATGAACCCATTGTACCTTCGTGTATATAAATAAATAAATAAATAAATAAATAAATAAATAAATAAATAAATAAATAAATAAATAAATTAAAAACCTCCCCTTTCTCCACCATCACCCCAGCCACCCCCACCACAACCCCTGCCAACCCCAACACCACCACACCAATCCTCACACTATAAATAAGCCACCGCCGCCTGCACGGAGATGTGCATAAAAGTATGTGCACACGAACAGTCACGTGCCTTCACGAGCAGCAAAGTTCCTAAAAATTCCTGAAAGGTCACGAGGGAGAGGTGGAGGGTGAGAGAGGGGGAGATGGTCTCCCTGTTACATTGGTTATGTCATGTCACGGTATGTAACATAACGTTGTCATTTTAGTGAAATACTGAATAAACGAAAAACATAAAATAAGGGCGAAAAGGGAAGATAAAAACGTGACAATTAGTTTTCCAGACCAAATTATACATGTGGTTGAAGCTTGGGTTTCGCCCGCGATCTGGCAAATGTCAATCGATGCAAGCCACACTAAATATTTTACAGTAGCCCATACCTCAAATTTTTGCACGTATAATAATTGGCAGAGATTTTAAACTAAATAATACATACATCTTAATTTAATAGCAAAATAAGTATAGACACGAGTTGTAAATATTTAAATTAAAAATACACAACAACACCGTCCAAAGCAAACAGGGAAGAGTTACAAGCAAACAAAAGCAAGTATCGGCGGCGCTTGTATAAATACTGATGACGTCATGAGGAAATGTTGAATACCTTCCTGGCGGGCACCGGTTTATTTGCTGCCTCGAGTAGGATATGTAATCAGTATTTACCTAAATTTGCCTGAGGGCCACTATCTCTCTCTCTCTAGTGGCCTCGACGAGGACAGGAAGCCGGCGACTTGTCGAAGCCGCCCCCTCCCTCATTTCTCCTGAAGAATTTGTCGCGTTGGATTTTGAAATTCAGCAGCGTTTTGGCATTTACAGTTTCGGCGGGTAGGCCGTTCTTTGCGTTTATGACTCTATGAGTGAAAAATCATCTCCTGTTTTCCGTCCTGCATTGTGGTTTATTGAGCTTGATATTGTTGCTGTTATGTTATATCTGACCTTTTGAAGAAGTGGTCTGCATCAATACCTCTAAACTGTTCAGTATTTTAAAAGTTTCAATATCAGCCCTGTCATGTCTGGTTTGCAGTATAGTTAGCCCCTGTGGCCCTCAACCATTCTTGGTATAAGAGTCGCTTTAGTTCATGAATGGTTTTAGTCGACTGGAACTGAACTTTCTCCAAAGCAGATATGACTTTCTGAAGCTGAGATCTCCATGAGATACAATAAGCCAAGTGGGGCGCTCCAGAGACTTATACAGTTGTATAACTACCTTATATTCTATGTAATTAAAATTTCGTTTTACCATTCGTAGAGTTTTTTTTAACTGCAGCGCCTTGTGCAACTCTAAGGTGATTGGTGGATTCTGACCCCAAGATCATTTTCTTCATTAATCTGCTACAAGATAATATTGTTGATTTGGTAGTTGTGTTGTGCATTGTTATGCCCCACATGCAAAGTCTTGCATTTTTAATACTACGAAGCATTTGCCAGTCTTCCGGCCATTTGTGGAGTTCATGTAGATCTTTTCTTTATAAAGTCTATCATTTTCACTTCCTACTTTACCACAAAACGTCTGCAAATCCGAAGATGTTTTTGTAATATTTTCACCTGTGTCATTGATGTAAAAAAAGGGTTGGGCTCAAATTTGACCCTTGAGGTACTCCACTCGCTGGATTTCTCCAGTCAGATTCATTTCCGTTTAGGACGACCCTTTGCTTTCTTTGTTTTAACCATTGTTTATATATTCTATTATTTTACTAATTATTCATGTGCTTGTAAATTCCTTGCCAGTCTTTCATGTCACCTTTCCAAAGCTTTAATGTTGTGTTGCTTTCATTATTTCATTAGATTCTTCAAGGTGAAATGGTGAATGATTTGAACCTTAGGATTCTCTCCATGAACTTGCAGATATGCAAGGTTAGTAAGGTTAGTTCATTTATTATGCACCCCATACCCATCTTGTGGACAGTAGTGGAAAGGGTTACAGAGGCACATAATGGGCTCAGGGACTAAACCCCACAACTCATTTAGCTAAGCAAGTTACAATCTTGATGAGCTAGTTACAACATTCAGTATAAGTCGTCACATCATCAATGGGTTCGAGATCGACCACAAGTACAGTTTCTAAATTAATTAAGCAACTGACATATGTGGAGAGGTAGTGTCACAATTGATATGTTTGTCCTGCACACCGCCCCCCATCCAGTGGGCAGCGGTGGATAGGTTACAATCACTCAGTCACTACCTACAGTTAGCAAACTGGGGATATTTGGCTAAAATTTCTGGTAGCAGATCATTTTGAATGAAATATTTACACGTCGTTGGAACATTGGTTATATAATTGTCTCTAAATTCACGTATCTTTTCGCACTCTATCACATAGTGATTGAACAGTAGTTTTCTGCCAAGCTTTTCCTGTTTTTTTAAATAGGGGGTGACATTTGCATATTTCTACTCTGGGGAGAGTATCCCTTGGTCTAGAGATTTACTGAAAAGGAGTTTCACTGGTAGACATAGTTCCTCTGCCATTTCCTTAACGACATTTGATTGAATTCCGTCCACACCTGGGACTTTTAAATGTTTCAATTTATCAATGCTTATGCTGATTATATCTCATGTTAAGGGGATATCCCTTAATTCATTCTTTTACCTGCTTCAAACATTTGTGTGGTATTGGGATGTTGTCTAATCTCACCAGTGTAAACACTGATGCACAGTATTTATTCAGTGTTGACTGACCTTTTATCATCAATTATAATTTGGTTGGTCTCATCTTTTAGGGGTCCGACCGAGTCTTTTGTTTTGGTTTTACTTTTTATACATTTTTTTGAACACGTTTTCTTTTATAGTTTCTTTTGGCTGATCTGATTTCCTGAGTGGCTGAATTGAAGGCCCTTCTGTATTTTTAATAATATATGTTGCTCTTTGTGGATTGCTAACTGCTCAGGTGTAAAGGATCTATGTGCACACATACACACTAAGGGCCAAATAATAGAGACATTAGAAAGAATTTGTTTAGTGTCAGTAGTAAACAAATGGAATGCATTAGGAAGTGAAGTGGTGAAAGAAAACAGCTAAAAGAATGGTCCAACAAATGGCTACTACAGTTTTACTTAAGTAATTGCAAATTAATTAATTTATTTTTATTTAATATATTTATTTATATAAGAGTTCCTACATTCTTGCAAAGCCACTAACACGCATAGCGTTTTGGGCAGGTCTTTAATTCTAATTTTCCCTGGAATACGACCCGCCTAATAGTTTAACACCCAGGAACCCATTCACTGCTGGGTGAACAGAGGCGTGCAGCTAATGATTGACGCCTAGTGAACGTCCAGTGAGTGATAAGGATTGGCCGGGATACAAACCCCTGGCAAAATCGCAACAAGGTTCGTTCCTGAGCTGGGGAGGCCTGAGCTACAAGGAAATACTGAGGGTGAACAAATCCACAAGGGCCGTGACGAGGATTCGAACCTGCGTCCGGGATGCTCCCGGATGCAGGTTCGAATCCTCGTCACGGCCCTTGTGGATTTGATCATTTGATGCATCACGTTAGTGTGATCTCTGTGTGTAATGAAATACTGAGGGTCTTCACCACAGTGAAGAAGACCAGGAATAACGGGGGACATGATAACGACACATAAGATTCCAAGGGGACTTGAGACAGTAGGCAAAACGCAAGGTTCTAAGCTAGGAACAGCAGAACTACAGATCAGAGATGAGCACCTTAAGACACAAATGAGTCACAGAGATGTCAGCAAGTTCTTACTCAGTGACAGTTTCCAATAAATGGAATGGGTTAGATGAAGTGGTTGAAGCAAATTCAGTACACAAGTTTATATATAAATATATGA